AAAATGGTGGTTGCCAGAGTTGGGAGTGAGAGAAATGGGGAGATGGTGGTCAAAAGGTACAAACTTTCAGCTATAAGATGAATAATTCCTGGGGATCTAATGCACAGCATGGTGACTACAGTTAATAATAGTAGATTGCATATTTGACATTTGCTAAGAGTAGATCTTAAAATGTTCTCACTACAAACATAAAAAAGGTAATTATGTGGGATGACAAATGTGTTAATTAGCTTGACTATAGTAATTTAACAATGTATATATACACATGTATCAAATCATTCTGTTTTATACCTTAAATATATATATACCTTTTGTCAAGTATACCTCAATAAAGCTGTTCAAACAAACAAACAAACAAACACTAATAAGTTTTGGTGAGAATTTGGAGAAATAGGAGCCTTCACACATTACGAATAAAAAGGTAAAATCAGTACAGCCACTGAGCCTTCACACATTACTAATGAGAAGGTAAAATCAGTACAGCCACTTTAGCAAATGGTAGTTTCTCAAAAAAGTTATCAACTTACCATATGACCCACCAATTCCACTCTTAGGAATCTATCTGAGAGAAATTAGAATATACAACCACCCAAATACATGCATGACCATACTCAGAGCAGCATATTCATAATAGCTGAAAACCTAAAATAATCCAAATGTCCACCATCCGGTGAGTGGATAAGTAATATGTAGAACAGCCACAGTAGAATACTATTCAGCAATAAAAAGGAAATGAATTACTGATACATGCTACAACATAAATGGATGAATCTCAAAAGCCTTATGTAAGTGAAGACAGATACAAACGACTATACACTGTGTATTTCATTTATATCAACTACCCAGAAATCTATAAGAGACAGAAAGCACATCAGCGTTTGGCTAGCTGAGGGTAAAAATGGGGAATGATTACAAAGAGACATGAAAGAATTTTCTGGGGTGATGGAAATTTCTCAAACTAGATTATATGTGGGATGCCTGGCTGGCTCAGTTGTTAAAGCCTCTGCCTTCGGCTCAGGTCATGATCCCAGGGTCCTGGGATCGAGCCTCACATCGGGCTCTCTGCTCAGCAGGGAGCCTGCCTCCTTCTCCTCTCTCTCTGCCTGCCTCTCTGTCTACTTGTGATCTGTCTGTCAAATAAATAAAAATCTTTAAAAAAAAAAACAAAAAACAAACTAGATTATACGTGATGGCTGTACAACTCTATAAATCTATACTGGGTGGATTTTATGACATGTAAATTATACCTCAATAAAAGTGTTTTAAAAATAACTTTAAAAATAGCTAGTAAGCACAATATCCTATATATAATATCTCCTCTCTATATATTAAACAGGTAATCTCCTACAGTTTCCTTTCGATGCTAATGTTTTACCCTACAGTGGCCTCTACTGGCCAAAAGGAGATTTTGATTAGATGAGCACTAGTTGCTTGAAGTTTCTTTATTTATAAAGTATCCACTATATAAATTAGGTCAGAAATGGCTAGGCTTTTTTTTTTTTAAAGATTTTATTTATTTATTTGACAGACAGAGATCACAAGTAGACAGACAGATATCACAAGTAGAGAGAGAGGCAGGCAGAGAGAGAAAGGGGGAAACAGGTTCCCTGCTGAGCAAGAGAGCCCGATGTGGGACTCGATTCCAGGACCCTGGGATCATGGCCTGAGCTGAAGGCAGAGGCTTTAACCCACTGAGCCACCCAGGCGCCCCTGGCTGTGGTTTCTTAAAAGAGAAACCATACTAGGATATAAGGTCTAAACTGTGCCCCTTCAAAGGAGAGCAGATGCGATGAAGAGTAAAACAAAAGGACATAAGAAGCAGAAGTAAATTCACTGTCGATATAAGAAACCTTTTAAGAGGGGCGCCTGGGTGGCTCAGTGGGTTAAGCCTCTGCCTTTGGCTCAGGTCATGATCCCAGCATGGGGCTCGCTGCTCGGCAGGAACCTGCTTCCTCCTCTCTCTCTGCCTACTTGTGATCTCTGTCTGTCAAATAAGTAAATAAAATCTTTAAAAAAATTTTTTTATTTACTTATTTGACAGACAGAGATCACAAGTAGGCAGAGAGAGAGGAGGAAGCAGGCTCCCCGCGGAGCAGAGAACCTGATGTGGGGCTTGATCCCAGCACCCTGGGATCATGACCTGAGCCGAAGGCAGAGGCTTTAACCTACTAAACCACCCAGACACCCAGTAAATAAAATCTTAAAAAAAAAAAAAAAAAGGAAATCTCGTAAGAATACTTTTTTTTTTTCTTTTAGTTACTCATTTATCTGACTTCCCACAGTCAACCCAGAAGCACATTCACAGACAGATATAAATGGAAAACCCATTATTTTTTTAAAAAGATTTTATTTATTTTTTTGACACAGAGAGATCACAAGTAGGCAGAGAAGCAGGCAGAGAGAGAGAGAGAGGAGGAAGCAGGCTCCCTGTCAAGCAGAGAGCCCCATGCGGGACTCAATCCCAGGACCCTGAGATCATGACCTGAGCTGAAGGCAGAGGCTTTAACCCACTGAGCCACCCAGGCACCCCTGGAAAACCCATTATTATAGGCTGATGTTACATAAATAAAATGTAAATTTAATAAGTCATTTGACTTTTTTCACCTTTGGAGGGTGGAGTAGCATCATGATTAAAAGAGCATGAGCCTAAAAGCTTGGATTCAAATTTTGACTTCAGCATTTCTTCACTGTGTGATCTTGAGTTTATTATTTAATCCACTGGTGCCTCAGTCTTCATTTTTATAAAATGGAGAAAATATTTTATCTCAAAGCATTGCTTGGAATAAGCAATTAATAAGCAATATATAATAAGCAATATGTTACTAACAATAAGCAATATAAGTTACTAACTCATAGTAATCATATAATGCATACTAGTTGTAATTATTGTTATTTCAGTTTAGAAATTGACAATTTTTATTTTAAATGATCTTTAAGTTCAAAAAATTACTTATTTATAAAATATAAATTTGCCAACATTTACTGAGCATCTTGTATGTCCAAAGCACTTTTGAGTTTTATGAGGACATAGTTGTTGGAATACTGAAACACTAAAGGCACTACTAGAAAACGACTGAAGAGATCGTTATTAACATTGAAAGATGTTATAATGTGTGAGCGAAAAAGATCACCAAACAGTGGTAATGCTATAATCCTGTTTTTAAAAGCACTTGTGTATATTTATACATATTCACAAAAGTATGTATGACTCTAAACCAAAATCAGCTAATGGTTGGCTTCTCAGTAGTGAGATAAAGAAGTATCTTTATTTTGCTTAGGGGTGCTTGGGTGGCTCAGTTGGGTAGGTGGCTGACTCTTAATCTCAGCTCAGGTCATGATCTCATGGTCCTGGGATCCAGCCTGTGTTGGGCTCCACACTCAGCAGAGACTCTGCTTGAGATTTTCTCTACCGGTGTCCCTCCCCCTGCTCACATGCTCTCTCTAAAATAAATAAGTAAATCTTAAAAAAAAATAAAAAGAATTATCTTTATTTTGTGTCTTTTTAAAAAGATTTTATTTATTTATTTGACAGAGATCACAAGCAGGTAGAGAGGGAGGAAGGGAAGCAGGCTGCCTGATGAGCAGAGAGCCCAATGCAGCACTTGATCCCAGGACACTGGGATCATGACCTGAGCCGAAGGCAGAGGCTTTAAACCACTGAGCCACCCAGGTGCCCCTTTGTTTTGCTTTTTTCTTAAGTGTATTTTCTGATTTTGTACCAGGAGTTTTTTAACACTACTGTTAAAAAAAAAAAAAAAAAAGTTGGGGCACCTGGGAGGCTCAGTCAGTTAAGTGTCTGATTCTTGCTTTCAGCTTAAGTCATGATCTCATGGGTTGCGAAACTAAGTTCTGCATTGAGCTGTGCACTCAGTGCGGAGTCTGCTGGAAGATTCTCTCCCTCTGCTCCTACCCCCATTCTTGCACTCTAAAATAAATAAATCTTAAAAAAATAAATAAAAGGAAAAGTTGAAGGGACCTCAATGATTAGCAACATACACACATTGTCTCAGATGGTAGGTAGGCCATTAGCATCCTGGATTAGAACTGGAAAGCAGTGAGACTCTGGGGGCTCAGTGGGTAGGGCAGCTACCGTCAGCTTGGGTCATGATTCTGGGGTTCTGGGATTGAGTAGTGCATCCGGTACCCTGCTCAGCAGGGAGTCTGCTTCTCCCTCTGCCCCTTCTCCCTGCTTGTGCGCTCTCTCTCTCATAAATAAATAAATCTTAAAAAAAAAAAAAAAAGGAATTGGAAAGCAAGATCTACAGGGCACAGAGTACACACTGTGATCTTCGGGAATTTATAAAGATTAAAACAGAACAAAGAATGAATCACATTTATAGATTAAGTGAATTTTTTTGGTTAGAATGTTATAATGCTTTAGTTTGAAGTGTTGCTTCTAAATACATGTGATAATTACCATTTGGAGTAGTATCCTAAGAGTAGAAAATAGAAAAAATTATCCTTAAAATTCTCTGGCACAGTTAGAGGTACATGGGCAGATTAGAAGACTACACAAAAGGTTCTCTTGCTTACGGATTCCACAGAAAGCAGGATCATGGAGCCATGAAAGAGGGCCTCTGTTTCCTGTTACAGTCATGGCATGATCAAAGCAGGACCTTACTCTCAATAAATGAGGTACAGCTGAGTTCAGCACCTCCTGTGTCCCAGGTGTTACTGGAAGGGCTATGTCTTAGTCCAACCAGTAGAAATAAAGTCCACCTAGGAGTCCTTTTAAATCACCTTTCTATTCTCAAGATTATCTTATGGGCTTCTCCGTCATGCAAAAAAGAAATTCTGACTTCGACTTTCCCATTGTTGGATGAACAGTAAGAACTTAACAAACAGTAAGACCCCACCTTCTGAAGACTATGTGCTCTTTAACATCAACAGCTACTAAGATTCTAAGGCTAGGAACACAAGTCTTGATTATAGGGAAAGGAATAAAGTTAGAACTAAATTTTCCCTGAACAATCAGTAAGTCAATAAAATTAAAAACTCACCTGAAAACATTTTTACAAAATCATCAGTAGACATACTCATCACCACATCTGCCTGTTCAGAGGGCTCTCCATATCCGACATTCCCACCTTTGCTTTTAAGATCAAGAAACCATGTTCCACCATCTTCACCTGCACAAAATACAGAGATACAGAAAACAATGCCGAAGAAGCCTTGTTGTTCTTAAACTTAATAGCTGCTAGAGTTAGAATAATTTTACATAATGCTGTTTTCCTGGTTAAAACCCTCAGGCCACTATCAAATTCAGTAACTATTTATTAAGTATTTCCATGCCAGGCATGGGGCTAGGCTCTCAAGGCCCTGCAGTAACATGGTTCTTACACAAGACAAAGCAGAGCCAGGCAAGCCCCATGGAAGGTGAGACTGGAAAGTCAGGTGAGAAGTAGGCAGATGAGGAACTGAAAAGAGTGTAGGAGGACTGAAGGTAGAAAGAGAATGAAGTGTGGCATGAGATGAGCTCATGAAGCAGTCCCGAGGCAGGGGCAGTGGGCCAAGTGAAAGTATACCTTCCATGGCATATCCCTTATGATAAAGTCAGTATCGTAAAGGATATGCCATGGAAGGAGAATGACATAAGGCTGTATTTTAAATCAATCACCCTAATATCAGGGTGGAGAATATATTGTTGAGGGATAAAGAGGATGCAAAAGGCAAGTTAGGATGGTTGTTAGGGTAGTTTGAGAACTTGAGGATGTGTGCCTGGATCAGGACTGTGGCCGTGGGAATAGGGAGAAGTGGGCATATTTGAGAGATAACTTCAAAGCAGAAACACAAAACTTGGTAAATGAACAGGATGAGGAAAAGGTATACAGAGTGCATAAGAAATGATTTACTAGTTTTTGGCTCAGGAAACCGGGTAAGTGTGGATGTATTTTGTACTGAGAGAGGACTACTGAGGAAGAGTGGATTGAACAGGCAGGGTCTGAGCCAGGTGTTGGGAATGGTGAGCTGTTTTAGACATTTTCAGATTGAGGCATCTCTGCGCCAACAAAGTGAAGATGTCAAATGAAGTCTGACTAGGCTAGAAATACAGAACCTAAGTAATCATTTCCTATGGTCAACTGAAGCCATGTGAATGATTAAGGTTTCCTAGGGCAAGTCTGTAACTGACAAGGATGATTACAGATAAAGGAGGAAAGCAAGGAGAGCTGCTGTCAGGGAAGACAAGGATGGGAGCCTTTCCAGAAGGCAGGAACGGTCAACAGCTTCAAATATTGTAGAGTGGTGACAAGGTAAAAATGACAAAGGCCCACTGATGATATAGAGGTCACTGAGGACCTTGGTGACAGCATATTCAGCAGAATGGAGAAATATGATACTACAGTAGAGTGAAGTCTAGATGAAATGAAGTTTGGCTCTAAAAGGGAGAGGAATGGTAGGGATAAGAAGTGGGATCAGGGGCGTTGTGTTTTGTTTTAAAGATGGAACAGACTTTGAGGACGTTAAGTTATCATTGGAAAGCAGGCTGCAGGATACACAGGTGAGAGGGCATAATTAACAGCACAAAATCCCTGATGAGGCCAGAGGAAATGGGATCTACAACTTTGCTACTCAAAGTGCAATCTGTGGACTATAGTCCTGTCAGAAATGCAAAATTCAGACCCTACCCGAGACATGGTGAATCAGACTGCGTTTTAGCAGAGTCCCAGATGATCAGTATCAACATTAAAGCTTGAGATGCTTAAATCTAGAGCTGAGCTCTGTTCTACTGGGAAGGAAGAAAGAATGATACTCATAACAACTGATGTGATATCAGATGACAGGAAGCTGAAGCACTTTGTCTGCAAGTTTGTATTATCTCTGTGAAAGAGGAGGTGGGGTTATCTGCTGAAACTGGCAGGGAAGTGGTAAAAGGGAGAAAGATGGGAGGTTTGTGGAATACTGAGAAGTTTTAAAAACAAAAACAATCACTGTGGAAAATGAGGCAGTAAGCCAACCACAGAAATACAGTATTCTGAGGTGCCGCTTAGAGCCCAGTTGAGGAAGGGTGATGAGAATTTCTACCAGTACAGATCCACCGGGTAGTGTGACGGGTTTTTTTCCATTTCCCCAGGAGCACTGAGCAGCCTGAATGCAACTGTGGGCCAGCCAGTGTGATTCATCCAGGACTAGGCTTTTGACAGGCAATGACATAAGCACAAAAAGGCCAGGGAATGTAGGATACAGGCAAGAGAGTGATTAAAGCAATGGACCATGGGCTCTAAGGAGAGCAAAGGAAGAAGAGAGGAAACCGAGGAGACAAAGGATAAAAGAACTGATAATGTCAAAGTTGCACTCAATGGGACTGAGGTAGCTAGTTCTTAAAACTATCATTAATATGTGTTAATACCATGTTGAGAAGAAAAACATTGAGAAGTTTAAGAACGCTGACTACATGCAGACTGACTTGGATAATTTCAAAGACAAAAATGGCTGGGTGTCGTGGCTGATGATACATTACTGTATTAAACCTCATGTCAGGATCCATATGCCCTCCTAACTAGGATTTTCTCTCAACTACATACGCCAAAATTTATTTAACACTGGAAGTCTATGTAATGAGATTTTATTTTACATGTGTCTATATGCACTGATCTTAACTTAAAATACAAATCAGTATTTACTATTCTTTAATGTCTACATTCTAGGGTTAAGGGTTTTGGATATAGGCAACTATCAAGGTGATTGCCACTTGAGGCTGATTTTCTTCCAAGAGAAATAACCTACTTTATTTCACAAAAGCACCACATTCCCAGATATTATCCTTACCTGAGAGTTCAAACAGATAAATTGCTTGAGTGGCTTTAACAACGTCATCACTGAGGAAGTCCTTAACGATTCTAAATGTTTCTGCCACGGCTCCAGAACGTGGTTTTGGTGGTGGCTGTGACTTCTCTTGTTTCAACTCTGGAAGAGCATCTGTAAAATATTATTGATATAAACGGTTTGAAAGCCTACACAGTATAAGGCCACACAGAGAATTAATGAATTAGCAGAAAAGACTTGCCACCAATTAGACTTGTTTGATAAAAATGATTTTAAATGCATCTGGTGACATCAAAAGGCAGAAGTCAAACTGATGGAATATCCAAACACGTCAGTCATGATTATAAATGTAAATGGTTTATACTCTCCAAGTAAAAGGCTGATTCTCAGATTAAGTTAAAAAAAAAAAAAACCCAAACCGCTACTAAGCTATAGTGGTTTTTTTTGGTTTGTTTTTTAACAGACCTAAAGACATTTTTAGGAGTAATAATTAATCACTCCTTTATCACCCTCTCTGAGTTCTAAAACCAAATGAGAAAAGAAGACACTAGAGATCAGAACATCAACCATGTAAATCGATGGACTGAATTGATGGAGACTGCAGATTGAAGCAACAGCCAAGTGAACTTCTAATAACTTTACCTCTGAATTAAACTTAGTTCCTTCATCCCTGGATTGAAGCTACTTCCTCCCATCAGGACTATGCAAAGGACAAGGCTGTTGGGGTTATTTTCCCTGGGTTTAGGCAGTAAAGGGGTGCACTGTCTGTAATGAATTTAAAAATAATGACGAACTCACTACAAGTGTTTTTAAAAAGTGTGTATCTTCTTTGCTCCATTGGGTCTTGAGGATTTCATCTTTAATATCTGTTTAGATTTTAACTTGTAAGAAGAGAAGGATTTTATTGTCGTTTTTGTCTCTGGAATCATCATAGTGAAAGGTAATTTATAGCCAGCAAATTTGGGATACTTTTATATTGCTCCTGTTGTACGATGGAGGTTAGATTTCATTTAATAATCTTTGGTGAGTTATATTGGTCAATATGGCTGAGTATGATTTGAGTTGGGAAACAGATGGAGAGTTCAATTTTAGCCTAGAGCACAGATTGAACTTGGAGTTAATTTAATTAATGGATTGTTCTCACTCGTTTCTGAGGGCAACTGCCAAACTACTCACAAGTGATTACTGGAGAATGAATAAAGGAAAAGAAGTTAGTATTTTGAAGGACAGCTTCATGCTATTGGAATTGTCCTATGGATTGCAGATCCCCTGGCTCATTATATACTGAATGGTTATGGCCATTGGGTTAAGTTGATACAAGTTTAAAAATACTCTAACTTCCACTCCCCTGGTCTTCTGTTTCTAGGCTCCTGCCAGGGCCAGGGGCAGGGAGAGCTTTTGTGAGGCTGATAATCTCACCTTCCTCTTCATCCAGTGGGAGGAGCCCCCATTCTGATGAAATTGCAAGAGGAATTGGCTTTTTGTGGATAACGGGTATGAATAATGACCATAAGTATACAACTCAAAAAGTTATCAGAAGAACTGGGGGATGAGTAGAAAGAGTAAAGAGGAGTGAGAAGTAAGGCTTTTCAGTTATGGAATGAGTAAGTCACAGGGATAAAAGGTACACCATAGGGGATATAGTCAATGATACTGTAATAATGCTGTATGGTGACACACAGTAGCTACACCTGTGGTGAGCTCAGCATAACATAAAGAGATGTCCAATCACTATGTTGTACACCTGAAACTAACGTAATATGCTGCATCAACTGTACTTCAATAAATTTTTAAAAAGTTATCAATAAGTGAATATACTGTGTCACCATCACCTAGATCAGGGAAGCGGCCCCTAGAAGCCTGTGGTGCCAATGAGACCACAGCAAAAACTTTAGTGTAAAGTTTTTACGTAAATTGCATAATTTATCACCTGGAATATTTAGACATGGTGTGATGACTCTGCACAAGAGAATAAAACTTCAGGAGACAAAAAAGTGGAAAGGTACAATCAATAGACTACAATGAGAAAGAGCATTTCAGTAACCGCCCCCCACCCCCCAAAAAAAAAGATACATGGCTAGCAGCCCCGTCACAGATTCTCCTAACTTCACAACGTAAGTATAAACATGTGAACAAGACACTAAACATCACCTAGACTCACAATCTACTGTCAGAACCTAGGAAGAAATGTTCAGTAACTCTAAGGTTGACAGAGTCATCCTAAGAACACAGGACTGCCTATACTTTGCTTCATGGAAGATCTCAGAGAAAGAATAGCTCTGCTCACCTAAACAAGGAAGACAGGTTTCTACATTTTTAAAACATGGGACCAGACTCTGGGCTTGTGCCAGCTAGAAGATTAGATCTGCCCCTCTATTATATAATGCCATCTTTTAAGAATGCCTCCATCTTTCAAATCCAATTTCAAAGCTTGTAGTTCCCAAATATCGGAAGAGGAGACAGTAGAGGGAGCCTTGGTAGTGGTTCATCCTGAAAAGTAATGCCTCAAAGCACTACTGGTGAAAGTGGGGAGAGGAAGAGCCCTGAGAGCAGGGAATGCAGGGGACAGTAGAAAGTAAAAGAAGTGTCAGTCTTGCACACTGGCACTAGCTACAGGCCTAACAGGTACCACAAGAGAAGCTACAGCTTTGAGAAAGGAATTCCACCAGCTGAACAGGGAGTGGATCCAAAAGCAATCTATGCATCTCTGTCACCGGGCTCTACTAGCTCTAGCAATCACTCCTAATATGAAGATGAATTAACATGGGGAAAAAATAACATGATGTCTATGAAAAACAATGTACCATAAGGTAAAGGAAAATTATCCTGAAGAAAAAAGAATCTATCTCTAAAAATAATTTACTATGCTTATTTACTGTTATTTACTACTAATTACTATTATTATTTACTAGGATTATTAATCCCACAAGGATTCCTCCACATGAAAACTCTATGAAACAGGGGCATAGAGTCATATATAACTGGCCAGGATGAAAAGACAACAGAATAAAATGAAAAAGGAAATAGGGAACATGAGAAACAAAAAGTACAACACCAAAATTAAAATAAACATTATTTTAAATATGGCCATACGAAAAGATGAAAGTGTCCAAAGTCTTTTTGTAATGTAGGCTCCAAGCCCAGCATAGGGCTTCAATTCACAACCCCAAGGATCAAGAGTCACGCATGCGGTCTACCGACCAAGCCAGCCAAGCACCCTGTCAAAAGTCTTAGCAGTAATACAGAGTTCAACCTTGAAAAGGTCTCCCAGAATGCAGAAGGAAAGAACAGTAAGATAGAAATATTAAAAGATGGTGATAACTACTGGGTAAAGTAAAAAGACAGTCAGGCAAAGAATAAGTGTTTCTGGGGAGAATCCAGAACAATTGGAGAAGAGGAACAAAAGCAATTAAAATTAAAACTAAAGTAAAACAAAAACAAAAATAAACTAAACTAACTAACAAGACTCTGTGGGCTCCCTGTGTTGCACTAGGGTGGTAGGAGGAGGGGAAATCAATGAAGAAATGACAGTACTATTTTTAATATGAGAAAAAAACAAAAATTATGTGCATAGTTTATACTTCATAGTTACAAACACATTATATAAAACAAATATACACAGCACAAATAACCAGAAAAGGTACAAATAGGATTAGCAAATAGAAAGGTGAGCTGTTCTCGCTTGAGAAAGGAGGGATTACACACGGACCTCAGAGAGAAAGTGTGAAGTCAACATATGGCGGATGTGCACATGGACTAAATAATCACCTAAAAGAGATGTTAGGTCGCAGGCCAGGTATACTGGACCATTACCTATATAAATACATTAATATATCTACAGGAAATATTGACTAGAATTGCATGAATGAGGAAGAGGGAAAAGAGAGCCACAGCAGCAAATGCTCTCTCCAGCATCATATGGGGAAGAGAAGCTTTAGCAGAAGGAATGGGAGTACTGCGACCTCAAGGATGAGAGCATCCCTCGTGTGGAGATGGATGTATGGACTGCAGTCAACGCACCTGACATACTCTGATCCCACAGGCAAAATCACTCCTACTGAAATCCAATGCTAATAGACATCTATCTTACATTTTACTTATCTAATCTCTCTTGTTCTGATTCCACAGTCATGAAACAACCTTCTGATTATGATTCTGTTCCCCTATGTCATTATGACCCAAGGGAGAGAATGGGCTGATCACAGCAACTACACACTTAGTCCATGAGATGGCAATTCCTCATAGCTAATAAATTAGCTATGAGGGAGGAAATATGTTAATTTAAAAGGACTTTACATAATAAAGACTTAGACAAGGAATTTAAATTTACTGGTTAAGGTTATGGGCTTTGCAATCAGAGAACTACGAATTCAAATCCTGGTTCTGCCACCTGCATGATCTCAGATCTAAAATGAAGATAATAATACTTGGCTTGTAGGCTCATGAGTGTTAAATAGGACAATGAATGCAAAGGACTTAACACAGTATTTGAAACACAGTAGTGCACAATAAATATTTTTTGAAAAACAAAATGAATATACATGATCCATAAGTGGCTCTTGTTAATTTAAATTTGGAATTTCAATGAGCTCATTTCCAATGTTAAGGTTATGAGTAAAAATCAGGATTTTCCTCTTGCCTAACCTGAAGACTAGACTCTTTCAGACTTTGATAAGCTGTATATTTTTCAAGATTTTTATGATATAAAAGAAAGCTGCCATTTTTATTAAGTCATTTCTTAAATATCTATAAAAATTTGGACAAAGAAAAAATATAGAAAAGAGTAAGCCAGAAAAAAGGTTGGTGCTAAAAACACTGCAGTGTCAGGTTCTATAAATCTGTACGAACGTATAGAGGAAATCTATTCTAGTTTTCTAGCAGCCATGTAAAGAATCTGTGATCGCTTAGGAGATTCGCAGTATCTAGAAGATAAAAATAAAGTAAGGGCCCAGGAGAAACACAACTATTCTTGTTAATAAAGCATAAAAGATTCTTCTCAATGGTATCTGTTAAAGAATGTTTCTTCTGATATCTTTCAGTAAGCTAGTGGCATAATGTCAAACACAAAGACTAAACTCTGGACCAATTATAAAAACAAAATAAAGTAAAACCAAAAGTTCCTTTGAAGTTAATTTCTCCCCTGAAGTACTCACACAGCACAAACTCTGAGAATGGTGTTAGGTGTACTTCGATGTGACACATTTTTCCTCAAAATGAAATAATACATCAACATGAAATACCTAAAGACAATGCCAAGGAAAAGAAATAAAACCTTAAAAAGGGTTTGCTTTCTTTTTAGAGTTTTTAAAAAAAATCAAATGAAAAGAATATATTAAGACCTTCTTACTGGGAGAAGGAAAAGACAACCTTCCTTGCTTGAATTAATTAAGCCCACATACTACTTGTCTAGTTTAAATTACAGAATGTTTTAAAAACATAAGGCAGAAATGTCCAATTTTATATTATGAAAGAAATACATAGTTAGCATCTTTATTTTCCTACATAAAATATGGTCTACATCTTACCATGTGATTCCACTTTCTTGATAATTGTATCTGGGTGTTCATCTAAGAAGAAGTCTGGTAACAAAGGATGGCCTGGAAAATTGACCCCCAAAATACTCAGGTTACTATGACAACATCAATACATCAAGATTTTAACACCTGTTTAACAAACATTCTATCTGTTTTTATTGTAATGGTCATTCTAGTGCAATGGAAAAGACTCCCAGGAGAACTGTTTGACTACTTGACTTTCACAAGGCTAAAATATTTTTCTCATCATCAAGTTATCCTCCTCTTCTATGGCAAATTTCATCTCTAAGATCCAAACAAAGAGCCACCTGTTATGTTAAGCCCTCAACTTCTCTCCCAGGTGGTTTTACCCCCTCCTCATCTATGCATGCAAACCTTCTGTTCTACATCCCTCCAAAGTGCTCAGGACTCATTTCTTACCTGGGCTCCTGAGAGAAGGGGATTCCTCATTAAGAAGGACATGTTTCCCATCTCTATCACTCCCTCTCAGAAGATTAAAAAAACTGGAGGTCAGGAATGCATTGGTCTTTATTATATCCACTTATCAAAGTACCTATTCATCTTATGTTCTCAGTACTTAATAGGATTTTTAATCTTAAATCAAATTTAAGATTTTGTACACAATGACTCTGTGTCTTTAAAACCTAAACTGATAATTACACTGTCCAGGACCCAGAAGACCTGGATCTGGTTCAGGTTCTGCCACTGATTAGCTGACTGCTCTTTCACAAAGACTAATCTCTGTGAGCCTGTTTTTCTACTGTAAATAATTAACTACTGACTACTGCAACTGTGTCATATGCTGGGCACTGTGCCAAGCACATTACACACATTATTGCATTTCGTTCTTACAAAAATCCTGTATGGAAGCTATTGTTTCCTTAATTTTACCAGTAAGGAAAATGAAGGGGCGCCTGGGTAGCTCAGTTGGTTAGCAACTGCCTTCAGCTCAGGTCATGATCCTGAGGTCCCAGGGATCGAGTCCTGCATCGGGCTCCCTGCTCAGCAGGGAGTCTGTTTCTCCCTCTGACTTCTCCCCTCTCATGTTCTCTCTTTCATTCTCTCTCTCTCAAATAAATAAATAAAATCTTTGAAAAAAATAAGGAAAGTGAAGCTCAGAGAAAGTGGGTCACATGCCTGAACTCACACAGCTCATGAGCAGCTGGGCTGGAGTCAGAACCTGGCTCGTCTTCTCCCAAACTCCATGCTCTTAATCCCTAAACAACACTGCTTCCCTCACAGGACTGCTGTGAAGGTTAAATAGATCATGTATATAAAACTGTACTGGGGATGCCTGAGTGGCTCAGGGGGTTACGTGTCTCCTTTGGCTCAGGTCATGATCCCAGGGTCCTGGGACAGAGTCCCACCACCGGGCTCCTTGCTTCTCCCTCTGGCTGCAGCTCTCCCTGCTTGTGCACCCACGCTCTCTCTGGCAAATAAATAAATAAAATCTTAAAAAAAAAAAACAAAAAACTATTCTGTAAAACTGTAAAGACCTATTTCATTCAGTTCAAACTGAAGAGACAGGATGACACAAATATAAACATGTGCAAGTGCAACCTAATGAATATATTTAGAATACACTTCTGCACCAATAAAGAGAACTCTGTTTATGGCTATATGGTCTATTTTTTTAATCATTTTATTTATTTATTTATTTATTTTAAAGATTTTATTTATTTATTTGACAGAGAGAGATCACAAGTAGGCAGAGAGGCAGGCAGAGAGAGAGGGAAGCAGGTTCCCTGCTGAGCAGAGAGCCCGATGCAGGGCTTGATCCCAGGAGCCTGAGATCGTGACCTGAGCTGAAGGCAGAGGCTTTACCCCCTGAGCTACCCAGGTACCCCTATACTGTCTATTATTTAATACAGATTATGTTTTACACATAAAGTAAGAATGCCTGATCATCACCACCATGACCTGCAACTTTAGAGAGGAAAAATGATTTCTGAACAAGGGGGCCTTCTGAGAACTTCTTGAATCACACTCTTGGCAAAGGGCAGACTGTGTTCACTTGCCTTCACCATCCAGCAGTAAGCTAGCTACTCTAAGAGACTGCACTTAAGAGAAAAACATTTGGAAAGAGTCCATATTCCTAGAAAGTTTTCATAGAGATGTACTCCTATATCACCTAATCCTTTAATAAAGTCTTTACTCTGATTTTAAGATCAACTTTATTTTTATTAATTTTTTATAAAGATTTTATTTACTTGACACAGAGAGAGAGCACAAGCAATGAGGAGCAGCAGAGGGAGAGGGAGAACAGGCTCCCTGCAGAGAAAGGACCCCGATGAGGGGCTTGATCCTAGGTCCCTGGGATCATGACCTAAGCTGAAGGCAGACACTTAACCAACTGAGCCTCTCAGGCATCCCCAGCGCAGTTTTATATACATGATCTATTTAAACCTTCACAGCAGTGCTGTGAGGGAAGCAGTGTTGTTTAGGGATTAAAAGCACGGAGTTTGGAAGAAGACGAGCCAGGTTCCGATTCTAGCTCAGCTGCTCACGAGCCACTCAGGTGCCCCTTAAGATCAACTTTAAAAACCAATTCTCAGATGCACCTGGATGGCTCAGTCATTAAGCGTCTGCCTTAGGTCATGATCCCAGGGTCCTGGGATCTGGCCCCGCATCGGGATCCCTCCTGCTCCACGGGAAACCTGCTTCTCCCTCTCCCAGTCTCCCTGCTGTGTTCCCTCTCTCGCTGTGCCTCTCTGTCAAATAAATAAACAAAAATTTTTTTAAAAACCAAACCAAAAAAAGAAAAAACCCCAAAACTCAATTTTCATTTTTAGTTTCAAGATTTAGAAATGGCTGATATGCCTCCTGTATCGGTACATCACTTAAAAAGGCTTCAATTCACTTCAATTGTTCCTTTCTTCCTTTCTGAAGCTGTGTTGGTATGGTCTTCTCCTTCATCGGGAGGATAGGTTTTTTTTTTTTTTTTTAAAGATTTTATTTATTTATTTGACAGACAGAGATCACAAGTAGACGGAGAGTCAGGCAGAGAGAGAGAGAGAGAGAGGGAAGCAGGCTTCTTGCTGAGCAGAGAGCCCGATGCGGGACTCGATCCCAGGACCCTGAGATCATGACCTGAGCTGAAGGCAGCGGCTTAACCCACTGAGCCACCCAGGTGCCCCTGGAAGGATAGGTTTTAAAAGAACATATTAGCTTTATGATTACACAAACATGCCCACAAAGCATATGTGTGTTCCTTGCAGGAAATGCAGAAAAATGCATCACTACTTTTAAAAACTTTTAAAAACTGGAAGCATTACCTGGTTTAATTGCATAGATGTCAAAATTATGTATTCCTTCTTCTCTTAAGATATTTTCATCAACAATAAAGTTTCCAGTAAAAGTCTTTGGCTTTTTAAAAATTGAATAGGCAGCATCTGCGATGATATCAACTTTTCTACACTGGCTTTCAATACCAGATCCTCCCAGCATATCCATAGCAGCGGTGTGGATGGCTGTGGAGAGAACACACACACATCGAACTCCAAATGAAACAAGACTGTGGAAGGAACAAACGAGGCAGCTGATCTTTTTATTTCACAGGTGATGAGAACAAGAACCAGAGAGCTTCAGGGATTTGGCAAATGTTCTGTTGACATAACTGGGTAGAACACCCAATCCTTACTCTACACAACACTGCTTCATAAAATAGAAGTCCTTTGTGAGACTCACAGCAAAATTCAATTAGACTTCTGATTTAGAATGCTCGAGAATGTGCATATGATTCTTCAAAGAAAGCCAAAAAGATTTAACAGAAAAATCACTGAGCAGTAAGGTTAGTGAGATTTTTATACCAACTATGTTGCTTTTTGGCAAGGCGCTTAACCTCTATGGGGCCTCAGTTTGTCTCTAAATATGGACCTCATTCCCTAAATTTATTGTCTTACCCCTCTATTAGAATACAGGGGCAGAGGGAAAAGGAGAAGCAGATTCCCCACTGAGCAGGGAGCCCCAGGACCCCAGGATCATGACCTGAGCCAAAGGCAGACGCTTCACCAACTGAGCTACCCAGGCACCCTTTAGGTGCATGTGATTTTTAAATGCTATGTTTTTTTAGGAAGTAATTTGAAACTCTACCATTCATTGTACACTATTAATTATACGTTGTCAAAATTGTGAACAGTAACTTATCTCAATTTACTTACATATGTTTTAGCTTACATTTCAAACAATGAAAAAGTCAACTTGTTTACATGTACTTTAGGTTTCAATCTCTAGTAATTTAAAGTTCTCTCCATACCACTGTTAACCATCATTTTAAATCATTACATATTGGAATAATTTACATAACTCAGTCCACAAGATGAAAACTTTACAGCTTTTGAGAGCCAAAACCCCTTTTCATTCATTCAACATATAGTGATTGAGTACTTACTCTAAGTCAGGCATGACTGTAGGGATTGGGGACAAATGTGTTGATAAAACGGATAAAAGCTCCTACCTTCATGGTGAAGACATTCTAGCATAAAACCCTACTTCAAAGGCAGCACAATTAACTTGGGCAATTTCCTGAAAGCACTGAGTCAGAAAATATATCCCTACCTTATAACTATAGTTCGTTTGCCACGAAGAAAATTTTTGCTTAACCAATAGTTCGAGATCTGGTTTTGCTCTTGATGTGATACCTTATTAATAAAAAATGGCAGCTGGGCACCTGAGTGGCTCAGTTCATCGAGCAACTGCCTTCAGTTCAGGTCATGATCCTGAATTCCTATGACTGAGTCCTGCATCCAGCTCCCTGCTCAACAGGGGGTCTGTTTCTCCCTCTGACCTTCCCCCTCTCATGCTGGCTCTCTCTCATTCTCTCTCAAATAAATAAATAGAATCTTATTTTAAAAATAAATAAATAAATAAATAAGTGGCGCCTGGGTGTCTCAGTGGGTTAAAGCCTCTGCCTTCAGCTCAGGTCATGATCCCAGGGTCCTGGGATCGAGCCCCGCATTGGGCTCTCTGCTCAGCGGGGAGCCTGTTTCTTCCTCCTCTCTCTTCTCTCTGCCTGCCTCTCTGCCTACTTGTGATCTCTATCTGTCAAATAAAGAAATAAAACTTGAAAAAAAATTAAATAAAATTGAAAAGGGCAGCTAATATTTATCAAGTGCGCCCTATGCTGGGTATGCTTCTACACACTTTACATAAGTTATCTGAATGAATTCTATGAGGTAGGTACCTATTATTCCTATTTTATAGAAGAGAGGACTCAAATGCACAAAGGGGTTAAATAACTTGTCCAAGGTTACAGGAGCTAGCATTCAAACACAGCTTGACTTCAGAGCCAGGATCTTAATGAAACTAAAGGATCATACTTTGGTAACCAACATTCTTAGAGTTCAGTTATCTCACTCCCATAAACTGTAGAATTTTTCTTTTACTTTTTGAGAGAGCACCTGCATGCACAGAGGTGGGGGGGGAGGGGCCAAGGGAGAAGGACAGAGAGAATTTCAAGCAAGCTCCATGCCCCGTTCAGAGCCCAACACGGGGCCTGATCTCAGGACCATTAGGACCCAAGCCAGACGCTTAACCAAGTGAGCCACCCAGGCACCCCACTATAGAATTTTTCTAAAAATATTTCATTATAGGGATGCCTGGATGGCTCAGTCAGGAAGGCATGCGACTCTTCATCTCCAGGTCATGAGTTTGAGCCCCACGCTGGGTGTAGAGATTACTCAAAATAAACTTTAAAAAAAATTTCAATACAGTGCATCTTAAAACTATATGCGTATGCACACACTTTAGTCTCATATAGACTATATGAATGGTAAAAGAATTTTTAGAAACTCCAAATTAAGAATATGTCATGGATGTGTACATGTGCTGTGTGTTCCTATGTACAGACACATACATACAACCTAAGAACAAAGAGCGATTTCCCCAAACAACCTATCTTTACTTCATTAATCTTTCTACCGATGATACAAAGAAGGCAAAGATGCTCACAATCAGGAACTAAGTCAGAGTTATTTTCAACAAAGGTTTTGCAATGTCATAGGGTACCCTAATAGGGTATAAAACTGACAACAAAAGAAGCAGGTTCACAATGGGATACATCAAGTGAAAACTCACTGATGATTTCTGAAGAAGAAAAAAAAGCAAAAATTTTAATGAAACCTGATTTGCCTTGGATCACAAGAATCCTAAAGGTGACCCTAAAACTTAAGCATTTATAAGGAAAAAATGGAGAAGTATCTAATAGCTTCCAACTGATTCTCCTGATTGCAGGCTGCACAAAACACACAATAAGAAGAGCCTTAAAATCAACCTAAGAGGGGTGGCTCAGTTGGTTAAGCATCTGCCTTCAGCTCAGGTCATGATCTCAGAATCCTGGGATGGAGCCCCCTATGCCAGGCTCCCTGCTCAGTGGGGAGTCTGTTTCTCCCTCCTTCTTCTGCCCCCTCCCCATGCTCTCTCTCTCTCCTCAAGTAAGTAAAATCTTAAAAACAAAAACAGAAACACAGATGTCCTTTCACATAAACATATAGAGTACATATCAGACTTAAAACATCAGCATTGCCTTTGACTCCTCCTCTGGAAAGAAAGCCTGTCTCACCTCTTTAGCACCTGTCAGTTGGGAGATTACTTCTGGTTCCAGGAAGCATAAAGAGCTGCTCTATACAGTCTAGGATGAAAACACATGTTTTTTGGGGGTGCCTAGGTGGCTCAGTGGGTTAAAGCCTCTAACTTTGGCTCGGGTCATGATCCCAGGGTCCTGGGATGGAGCCCCGCATTGGGCTGTCTGCTCAGCAGGGAACCTCCTTCCTCCTCTCTCTCTGCCTGCTTCTCTGCCTGCTTGTGATCTCTGTCTGTCAAATAAATAAATAAAAGCTTTAAAAAAAAAAAAAGAAAAGAAAAGAAAAAACTTTTTTTTTTTTAAATAGAAGCCTCACAAACAGCCAGGAGCCTGGGCACACTCTGAAATCCATTTTGCCTTAGTCATGAATAATGCAGTATCCTAGCAAGCGCTCCTGCCTCTCTCTCCATGATCTCACAAGTCATCCTACATTCAGATGCCAAATTAAACTTCTTAAACCTCATCGGCAACCCTATCACTCCACTGTTCCTATTTTCCCTCTGCTCTCCTGCTTCTAAAATTCTGAAGTGGCTCTGTACTGAATATAAGTTGAAATTCAAGCTCCTAAACTTGGCAGTCAAGATCTAGGGCTTAGTCATCCCCACAACAACTTCACACCTACCCAACATTCCACCCAATTCTTCAAGTTCAGTGGGATATAAAAAGCCCATAATTTATCATATAAACACCATTATCAAATTCCTTGACAGTTCCACCAAACACACGGTATTTTTTCCTATACCATAGTCTTCGTTGTTCCCTCAGCCAGGAATGCCTTGTCCAATTCTTCTTCTTGCTAATTCCAAAATCCCCTTGAGATCCTACTGGAATTGTTAATTTTTATTAGAAAGCCTCCTTTCCTGACCTCTAACCAGAACTACACAGTCCTCCTGATCTCTTTCAAAAGTATCCTGTACATAACTCATCATGTCATGTATTACAAGGAACAGGACTGTAAATTCAGTTTACTGTGCCATCAAATCTAGGCCCCAAATAATACCAATGGTTCCTAGTAAAACTTCTAAAATGAACATCTCAAAGCTACAGCAAGATGATGGAAGTGAACTGATTTCTCTCGTCAATCCTGGTGGTGTCCTCCACGTTCATGGTCATGCAATGTTCTGTTCAGAATGTCTATTTTGGAGGTAGGCAGAAGGTAATCATACTGTGCATTCATTAATTCATCAAATATTTACTGAATGTCTACAAGGACTACAATAAAATGAACAAAGCAGATACTATCTCTACCTTTAAGAAACTTTAATTCTAGCAAGAAAGACATTAACCAAGTTATAAAATAAATAGCTCAATTACAAATGTTGTAAGTAACATGAAGGAGATGTAGAGACTACTAAATCCAGGGGTCAGTCCCCATTTTATAAGAACTACCAGCAACATTTGACACAATGAATCACTCCCCTTCTTCCTCAAAACATGTTCTTCAAGTGGCTTTCAGGGTATCATACTCCAATTTTCTTCCTACCTTACTCTGCTATATAGTTCTGCTTTTTCTCCCAATTAGTTTTTCTTCTTCCAAATCTCTGAATGTCATAATGGCCAATAGTCCTTTCTCTTCCTATATACCATTTACATGTTGATAACCCACAAATTTCTATCTCCACCCTGGACCTCTCTCCTGACACCCATACTTGCAAATCCAACTGTCTACTGACCATATCTACTTGGATGCACAAACACAGTGCCCCCAAATGAATTCCTAACCCTGCTCCCTAGCCTGCCCCCTCTGCAGCTTTCCCTATTTATTGGTTCCACCTTCAAAATACAGCAGAATCTGACCACTCTCCACTGCTTTTACTGCTATCACCCGGTCACAGCTACCAAGATATACTGTCTAGGTACTGCAACAGTCTCCAACCTCAACAATTTCCTGTTTTCTCCCTTTGACCCTCAAGAATTTATACCGGCCCCTTCCTCTCCAACCCAGTGGGGACCAAGGTCCAGTGCAGAGAGTCTCTCCTCCTGGGGGAAATGGGTGTGGCCAAAAAGAGTCTGCCCCCTCACCCACACATTCCTAGGGAACCTGGTGCTCAACAGTTCCTAGACTACCTGATTTCTGGGTCCGGGGAGTTTCAAACATAGTAGAGCAGCTCCCCGATGGGATCTTCTCAAAGTCAGCCCCTGACACAAGGGTTTAAAAAAAAAACCAAAAAAACAAATCTTTTTTTTTTTTTTTAAGATTTTATTTATTTGACAGACAGAGATTACAAGTAGGTAGAGAGGCAGGCAGAGAGAGAGGAGGAAGTAGGCTCCCTGCTGGGCAGAAAGCCCGATGCGGGGCTCCATTCAGGGCTAGATCCCAGGACCCTGGGATCATGAGCTGAGCCGAAGGCAGAGGCTTTAACCCAATGAGCCACCCAGGTGCCCCAAATCTTTTTTTTTAAGTAGGCTCCACATCTAAGATGGGTCTTGAACTCAAAGCACCTGAAATTAAATTAAGAGAGTCTTGTGCTCTACTGAGTCAGCCAGGGACCTGTCCCTGACGTGCCCCCCTGCCCCACAATAATCTATTCTTAAGAGCATCCAGACAGATCCTTTAAATAAAGTACCATCACGTCCCTCCACTGCTGAAAACCTCGTCAAAGGGGTGCTTGGATGACTCCGTTGGTTAAGTACTCAATTCTTTCTTTCTTTAAGATTTTTTTATTTATTTGACAGAGACATGGTGAGAGAGGGAACACAAGCAGGGGGAATGGGAGAGGGAGAAGCAGGTTTCCCGATGAGCAGGGAGCCAGATGCAGGGCTCGATCCCAGTGACCCCAGGGGAAGGCAGATGCTTAACAACTGAGCCACCCAGGCGCGCCTAAGTATCCAATTCTTGATTTGGGCTCAGGTATTGATCTCAGGATTGTGAGATCCAGCCCCATATCAGCTCCGTTGCTGTGCGTGGAATTTTCTTGAGATTCTCTCTTCCCTCTACTTCTGCCCCTACCTGCTCCTGCATAGGTATGCACACTTTCTAAATAAATAAAATATTTAAAACAAAATCAAAACAAAACCCTGCAAAAGCTCCCCATTTCACTCTGAATAAAAACCCAAGTTTTGGCAAGAACTTACAACATCTGCTCCCCATTTCCTTATGGGCATCATCTCATTTTCTACTCTTCTCCCCTAAGTCCAGCCACATTGGTCTTCTCCCTGCTCTTTGAGCATGCCAAGCATGCTCACCTCTTTCCCTTGGCCTCCCTCTGCCTTCAATGCTTCCCTCAGATTCCCTATGACTAACATCACCGAGGGTAACTCCAGCACCCCCTTCAAGTCTATGCTCAAAAGTCATCTTCTGGGGAACCTGGGTGGCTCAGTGGGTTAAGGCCTCTGTCTTCGGCTCGGGTCATGATCTCAGGGTTCTGGGATCGAGCCCCGCATTGGACTCTCTGCTCAGCGGGGAGCCTGCTTCCTCCTCTCTCTCTGCCTGCTTCTCTGCCTACTTGTGATCTGTCAAATAAATAAATAAAATCTTAAAAAAAAAAAAAGTCATCTTCTTGGGGTGCCTGGGTGGCTCGGTGGGTTAAAGTCTCTGCCTTTGGCTCAGGTCATGATCCCAGGGTCCTGGGTTTGAGCCCCGCATCGGGCTCTCTGCTCAGCAGGGAGCCTGCTTCCTCCTCTCTCTCTGCCTGCCTCTCTGCCTAATTGTGATCTCTCTCTGTCAAATAAAAGAAATAAAATCTTAAAAAAAAAAAAAGTCATCTTCTCAAAAAGGCCAAACCTTTCTACTCTATTTAAAATCGCAATCTAGGGGTGACTGGGTGGCTCAGTGGGTAAAAGCCTCTGCCTTCAGCTCAGGTCATGATCCCAGGGTCCTGGGATGGAGCCCTGCCTAGGGCTCTCTGCTCAGCAGGGAGCTTGCTTCCCCACCCCCACCCCTCTCTGCCTGCCTCTCTGCCTACCTGTGATCTCTGTCTGTCAAATAAATAAATAAAATATTTTAATAAATAAATAAATAAAGAGTAAACTCGAAGGATAAGATCTGCATCCCCTTCACCTTAGTACCCTTAATTCCCTGTACACAGGTTAGACACATAATAAATTACCTGTGTATGCACAATGAATAAATAGTACAGAGAACGGTGCCTGGCATATAAAAATGTTTGGAAGATGAATGAATAGAAAATGACAAGTAACATAACAGAGGTACAAAAAAGGGAAAATACTATGTTAGGACTTCGTTATCTGGAAGAGCTCCCTTTCAGCAGCAACAGCAGCAACGACTGAAGTGGGAGAGGAGGAGGTTGAGAATGGATGAGAAGGAAAGAAAGCTGAAGAAGAGAAGACACAGTAAACTGTGAGCTTTTAAAGTTTTTAACTGTGATCCATAATCAGTAACACTTTTTATTGACATGACTAAGAATACATAATACCTACCTATACACACACTCACAAATACAAATCTATCCTTTATATATGAAACAATATTGACAATCTGCAATGCCCCCTAATATTTTCTACCTTATTCCACTATAAATAAAACAACGAAATTCTGACTGCTACCTTCTAACTCAATTTCACAATCCACAAAATTGATTTCATGACTCACCAATGAATCTTGACATGCAGTTTGAAAAACACTACAGAAGCACTTTTTCACTTTCACCTTTTGCCCCACTGCAAAGAATATCATTCTCTAGAAAATCTTAAAGGAACTGTGTTTGCTACAGAAACATAAGGGAAAATGAAGAAGCAGTAAAACATGGTTCAGATCCCACAGTGGGCCAGGGAAGAAAGGAATCTCGGTCAAATAGCATTTGAAAGGAATTTTTAAAAACTGATCCTTGGAGCCCTTAGAAGAAGAATAGTAACTACAAAGGTGGCTGCAACGGCTAAATTCTCCTGAAAGTTACATTAACAATATGCCCCCATGTTCCATACATTCTCACCCACAGCCTCCCTGTTCCCCCCATCCCCTGGCATCAATACCTTGGGTCGTTGGCCCTTTCGCTTCTGCTGGGAGTGGTAAAATCCCTTCACCCGGCAGACAGCAGAGGCAAACAAAGATAAGATAACCCTCAAATATCCCCAAGCTAGAACTCTGGGTTAGTTTTACATTGTTGTCTGTAGCAATTCAGTTCAAGAGTACCCCAGAGCTATATAATACTTTGCAAAAATGCTGGATTAAATGTGTTTTCATGACCAACTCTTACCAACCTCATCATCCATTAGCTGAAAAGGCTAAAGAAGTATCCACAGTGCCCTGCACAATGTCTCCACATAATAACTGTCCAATAGGTATTTGTCGAGCAATAAAGGAATAAACAAAATAATTCCAGAAGGAAGAATAGGAATAAAAAATATAAAGGTCCTTTAGACAATAAAGAAACATGTTAAAAGACATGATGGGGAGAAACAGGAAAATCCAGAATGTTGGAAACTCTATAAATGACCTGGTTTTTCAAGAAATCAGCGGCAAGGAAAAAAAATTACAACTGTTAATGACTATAAGTGAAAAACATATCACACAAATATAATGTGTGAAACTTTTTTATATCCTGATTTGAATAAACCAACCGCGGAGAAAGTATTTGAGACATATGGATAGAGCTGGAGAGTATAATGCTAAGCAAAATAAAGTCAGAGAAAGACAAACAGCATATGATCTCACTCATATATGGAATTTAAGAAACAAAACAAATTTGACAGAGAATGAGAGTGAGAGCACAAGCAAGAGGAGTGGCAGAGGGAGAAGGGGAGGCAGAGGCAGACTCTCTGCTGATTTCCATCCCATGACCCAGATATTACCACCCAAGACAAAGGTAGACGCTTAACAGACTGAGCCAAGAAGGCGCCCAAGAAGCAGACTCTTAAGTAGAGAGAACAATCTAACAGTTACTAAAGGGGAAGTGGTTGGAGGCATAGGTGAAAGGCATTAAGTGTACACTTATCCTGATGAGCACTGAGTAACGTAGAGAATTGTTTAGTCACTGCATTGTACACCTGAAATTAATATAGCAATGAATGTTAACTATACTGGAATTAAAACAAAAAATAAAAAAGGCAGGTAGTTGTTTATAAATTTAAAATCCAGAAGCACTTCTATACCCTAGCACCAAAGAGAAAATATAATTTTTTTAAAAAATACCATCTAGTATTGTGGCTGCCCCAACATGAGACTTATTAGAATACTTTCCCTTAAAATCTTCCCATGCTTGTATAAGCCCTTCAGAATTCAATTACTTCCATATTTCGCCCTCTCCCAACCTCTAAGTTTTAAAAAGAGAGTTCAGGAGTGCCTGGGTGTTGCAGCTGGTTGAGTGTATGATTCTTGATTTGGGGTCAGGTCATGATCTCAGGGTCATGAGATCAAGCCCCAAGTCTCTCTCTCTCCCTCTCCCTCAGCCCTGCAACTGCCCCTGCCCCACACTCATGCCCCTAGCGTGCTAACTCTCCCTTTCTCTCAAAAAATAAAAAAAAGAAAAAAGAAAAAAAAGTTTGTTTCCCACCTCAACCTACCTACCCAAGATGTATCTCAAAGTGTCAAGGACAATAAATGAGACTCCGATCTGGATTTTTTTTTTTAATACATACCTGTTTTTGGCCATAATGCATTCACTGCAATTTCACCCTTAAATTCTTCTGCCATTCCAAGCACACACATAGACATACCATACTTAGCAATGGTATAAGCTGAAAGAAACCATAAAGAAAAGTGCTTAATTAAGAAACAACTCTGTGAGTATAAATAACCACTTTCTATGGCTACACTGCTAGTAAAACAAGAACAAAAAGTTGCAGATTTGTTTAACCTAGTCAATTAAAACAGAACTTCTTTCAGCTTTGCCCTGTGGCTTTCTAATTACCTGTCTAAATTTTAGTGAATTATGTACAAAGAAGAACTATCTGATGTAACTATTTTAAAGGAGGCACCTCTACATAAATCTTGTAATTTAATGCATACTCACCTCAAATTATTTGTTTGCTGTGAAAGGAAAAGTACTCCATAGTTTCAAACCAACTTTATTGAAGAATAAGTTCTATATAATAAAACACACCCACTGAGATGTGAGGGAGCTTTCTGGAACAATGGAAATCTGTATCTGGATTTGGGTATTGGTTATACAGGTGTATACATTTGTCAAAACTCTAAACTGAACCATTAAGATCTGTGCATTTTATTGAATGTAAATTATACTTCAGTGGTTTAAGTTACAGGTAAAAGTTTAAGAATCTAGTTTCGAAAGTACTATTGATTCTGCACAGAAAAGTTAATGTTGAATGCTATGTAAAAATTGTGACTATATCACAAAAACACTGATATAATGCAAAACAAATTAACCAAACAAACCAGCCCCTCAACCTACCACCTACCACAGTGCTGTTTGAACCACATGGGATTTAGGTTCAGCGGTGGGCTGAGATTGAGGATATGAGCAATTTTACTCTTTTTCAAGTAAGGAATACAAGCTTTAGATCTGAAAGCAAAAGAAAACACATCAAGTTAATAGATTTCTAACAACCTCCCCACTTCTCAAAATTATTATATTTATTTTTGAAGATTTCATTTATTTGAGAGAACATACACAAAAGTAGAGGGGCCAGAGGGAGAGGGAGAGAAAGAATCTCAAGCAGACTCCCGGCTGAGCACAGAGCCTGATGCAGGGGCTCAGCCTCCCAAGCCTGAGATCATGACCTGAGCCAAAATCAAGAGTTGGATGCTTAACCAACTGAGCCACCCAGGCATCCCTAAGATTGTATTTTAAAGTACTTCTACAAAGCAACTAAACCTGGTCAGCAATCTGTAGGCTACTTTTGTTTGTTTGTGTTTACTTTCCTAAAATGAAGGTAGGAAAAGCAGTAATTTTCACTTTTTTGAAACTTTACTTAATAGCCTGAAAAAATGATCTGCTTGATGAAAATAAATCCTTGGCACATTAGCCTTAACACCAACTGAAGCTGTCCTCAACTACATCCTTCCAATTCTCCTCCCACCAACACACACACACACACACACACACACACACGTGTGTGTGCGCACGTGTGCATAGTTTTCAGCAAGTTAATGTCCTTGCCAGCCAGCACGGGCAGTACTATGGTAAAGAACATGGTGCTCGGGTCAGACAGAGTGGGGTTCAAATCCTTCTTCTTCCCCTTCATCAAGTGATCTCAGGCAAAATATATTCTAATTCTGTTTTCTCATTTGTTTAAGTGTTGGTAATACCTACCATCTAGGACTGACCAAGGGATTGAGATGATAAATATTAAATACTTAGAACAGTACATATGTTAAACATGAAATAAACAACTGCTATTATTGGTATAATGTATACTGATTTATTTCATCTTAGTAGGTGTGGTATTCCTACTATGCTGGAACTGTAATTTAATAACACAACTCCCAATACATTCCCAAATTTAGTTTGCACCAATATGCAATGCAGTATACCTTCGAGATGAATATTTAGTTTTTATATTTTTTTAAAAACTATTCAAAATGGTAGGTAATTTATTTTTTTAAACTTAGGTTCAACATTTTTAATTTATTAATGATTAAGCTACACTGTGTTATTAAGCTGTAACATTGTGTAGCTTAAAATTATATAGCTTTTAGTTTTATTTCACATTCAGTAATTTCTAAGACTTTGAACTAGTTGATTCTTGTTTTTTTTTATTAACTAATGTACAACATTCTTATTACCATTTGCAATGTCTTTTCAGGTCTAGAAACCAAATATAATCAATATCACTAAAAGGTTTTATACATATTGTTTTTCCTTTCCAAAAGTGCTTCACTTTCATGGTAATGAGCTGGGGAGGGGAAAACACTATTACAGCTGATATTCATTAAACGAATGAAGCTAAAATCTCCACAGGAAAAACCAAATCTATTCCAGGCAATAAGACCATGACTACATTTTACATCCAAGGAAAGAGCTCATTTCAATTACATTATAAACATGAACTTCTCCTTTGATCTTTTAGACAAAACCTTTCCATCTGCACTTTGCCTGACTGGACCTCACCATTACTAATCCTAAATCAGCTGCATTTTTATGAGCAACATGCTCAATCTTATGTATTAAAGATAATTAGCACCACACTTAGATACTAATATCTTCAGCTTAATAGTTAAGCTTACTGAAAACCTACTGCATGCTAGGCACTGCACTTATTACCCTTCCATGAATTATTTTCCTTAATTAGGCTCACAAGCTCAATAGGCATTTAAGTAAATGAATAAAGTGAGCTGGGTGTAGGGGAAAAATATTAACTGTTCAGAAATGCAACTGAACTTTATTATTCAATTTCTATAAGCATTTAACATGATACAAACACCTATAACACTGGAGATTATATATTTAAAACTTAAAAATGCAAATTAAAGGTTTGCCTTCTATCTCATCTCTGCCACAGGGCCCTGGGTGCCAGGGATCAGGAAAGAGCTCTAGATCCTCACTGAAACCTCCAAACAGGTCAGCTCTTTGGCCCTTGCCCCCACTCTCTCCCAGATGATGCTTCTCAGGCTTGCCTGAGAAAATAATCTACACTTTCCTTCCATGAATAAATAAGTGTCACTAAATAAAAAAATTAAAATTAAAATGGAAATGTTTCATTATCAATTTTCACTTTCATAACTTGTAATTTTCACAGAGGGCCAAAAACCCGACAGCTTGTCCTTGATCCAAAGAGCAACATCAGGTCTTTTCATTTGGCATTGCAATATGCCTTTAACTGGGAAAAATATTTAGTATTATTTAAAAAATAGCTGTTCCAGGGGCCCCTAGCTGGCTCGGTCAGTAGAACATGCGACTCTTGATCTCAGGGTCGTGAGATGAAGTCCCACATTCAGCATGGAACCTACTTTTAAAAAATAAAATAAATAAAACAAAATAAAGTAACAGCTGTCCCTAAATGCAGGAACTTTTAACAATGAATAGAATCTTTTAAAAAAGGCTTTTTATTTTAGAGTATCTCTTCCTGAGACATTTGTAGATCTGCTATTCCAATGTACTCATATTTAGTTTTTAGTACATTAGTGCTCTATGGCTCATATGTTCCATCAGTAGTTCTCCAACTACACACGTAGTATTCATTGAGAAATGTACCTGAACAAAGTTAGTTCACTTTCTCACAGTTTGAAAATCAGGGGTTTTTTTGCTTTGTTTTGAACTGAACCTTCAAATCTGTAACTGCAGGAATGTAGTTTAAGCCATCAGTTTCATTTTTGGAAAATGATCCTGGTATAGGAAAGGGGCCAGGTTGTCCTTGCCAAATGGGTTTTCCAAAGACGTAATTTCACAAGGAATGAGCAATGAGAATCAGATTTGTGTTTAGTTAGTCATAATGTCAACTGATAAAGCTAAGTCTTTGATCCAATCTTTGTATGGAAATTGAGTTGAGAATTCTCTCAGGGGTGGCAAAAAACAGCTCATTTCTTTTAAATTAAAACCCAAATCTTGGGGCACCTGGATGGGTTACTCAGTTAAGTGTCTGCCTTCAGCTCAGGCCCCACTTCAGGATCCCTGATCAGTGGGGAGTCTGCTTCTCCCTCTCCCCCTGCTCATGCTCTCTCTCTCCCTCTCTGTCTCTCTCATACACACATACACACACACACTCACTCACTCTCTCAAATAAATAAAATCTTCTAAAAAAAACAAACAAAATCTCTTCAACAATACAATACAGCCACATAATCTTGTTACATAGCAGAGGATCATATTTCTAGTCCACATTAGTAAAGCAGTTAATTGTGGTTCAAACCATGGAAGTGTGTTTAGTTCTTAAAATTTGTAACACAGTCCATTTTTAACTTTTTAAAGCAAGAGCAATTCCCAATGAGCAATACGATGACCAAAATTATTTTCTGCATCTCTGTGAACCATTTCTACATTAGTTTAAAGTTTAAAGCTAACACTGACCATTCATGACAGCTCAAAGTTAACACTGACCATCGCAACAGCACTGTCTACAATTATGGTTACTACGATTTTGACAAATCTATATTAAATTTCCTAAGATGTCTCTCAATGCTTAACAAGTCATTTCCATGCTCGTGTCATGGGTACCAGTCTAAAAGTTTTTTTTTTTTTTTAAGATTTTTATTTATTTATTTGACAGACAGAGATCACAAGTAGGCAGAAAGGCAGGCAGAGAGAGAGAGAGGAGGAAGCAGGCTCCCCGCTGAGCAGAGAGCCCGATGCGGGGCTCGATCCCAGGACCCTGAGATCATGGCCTGAGCGGAAGGCAGAGGCTTTAACCCACTGAGACACCCATGTGCCCCTAAAAGTTTTTTTTTTTTAATCATGTCAAAATTCTCCTGACACCTTAGGTAAATAAAACTTGGTCAGTAGAAGGTTTATATCCGTGGCTTCATCATCTACAATCGAAACCGTCACGAATGATTTAACTTCTCACAAATCATGTCCTTTTAAGCCTTAATTCAACATGCTGAGAAACAGTATTCCCGCTTAGGTTTGTATTTTTAAATGCTTGTTTAAATGAATGTTTGTATTTAATCAAAATTCTTTCACGAAGTTACCATCTGTAAAAGGTTTTGAGGCCCAGATAATTTCTTCATGTAACACATGACTGCATCACAGAGCAGCGCTGCTGGTTTTATTTGAAAATAAACACAAATCCTATTGAAGTGTTAGCCCTTTTTCTATATAAGTTTTGCACCACAATCTTTTCTGTATGTTTACCATAGTTCTTACTATGGTTGGATTCACTGTGATCTCCATTCAATAGAGATAGACTTTACATACTGAATTTATAGAAATATGCCCCACATCTACAAAGAAGTAAGCTCTCACTCATTTGACTTGAACATATGGCGCTCTTGGCATATGTCTCATCTTCCCACTTCAGACGAGACACATGGGTATGAAAAATATTTTACTTCCCTCTTTGAGAAAAACAGCAGGGCGAGCACACAAGATAAAAATGGTAACTTTTTAGCCTGTCCTCAGTTTTAGGTCTCTAGGAGTCACACTGCAACATAACAAAAGGCTAAAGTCTCTAATGAGCCAGTCCACACCAGCCACTCTGCTGTAGTGCCTAACTATTGCCATGTGGGTATGCTGTGGCCAGACTTTCCAATGCTTCAAGAAAAGCTAGAAATCTGGAATTTTGTGTAAATCTGATCTTTTTCATATGCACAGCTAATAAAATTCTGAGCTAATAAAGGTGCTAATAAAAACAAATTGTTTTACTCTGTCAGGGCCCAGTTTTGCAGACCCAACAAAATATATCTCTAAGAGACAAGTCCCAGATTAACAACAAATTTTACATTTAACCCTCACAACCAATCCTGTGACATACTTCATTGTCCCCATTTCACAAATGAGGAAAAAGAATCTGCAAGAAGTTAAGTTACTTGAAAAAAGTCATGAGATAGCACATACTTAAAGGAGTCTAACTCCAAAGCCCAAGGTCTTAATCAGTCCTAACCCATTTTATGTATAACTGTAAGGCAAGGTACATGTAAGATACATGCGGGAACAAACAAGTTCTATGCTGATCTTTCCTTACGTCCACATGAGAAAATGATAGAACCTGAGGGTCAACAGATAAAAAATGGACAAACAAGAGTGGATTGTCTGACTGATTCAGAACAGATCACAACTACATCTGGTTTCATTCTGTATCCTGTATTCAACCTGATATGACCCAAGATAGCCTTAACCCTCTGTTACATTAAAATGTGATTAATAGGGGCGCCTGGGTGGCTCAGTGGGTTAAGCCTCTGCCTTCAGCTCAGGTCATGATCTCAGTGTCCTGGGATCGAGTCCCGCATCGGGCTCTCTGCTCGGCGGGGAGCCTGCTTCCCCCCTCTCTCTCTGCCTGCCAATCTGCCTACTTGTGATCTCTCTCTCTCTCTCTCTGTCAAATAAATAACTAAAATCTTTTTAAAAAACGTGATTCATAGACAATTAAACTAATATAACAATTATGTTAACTATACTGGAATTAAAATTTAAAACTTAATAAAAATAGAAAAAAATGCGGTTCATAATGAGCTTCCTATGATTTACATAACTATAACCAGCGTTTTTCAGAGAAAGCAAAGACTACTACTGATGTGAATACTCAGAAGAGTTGGCATGCATTCATGCAAATGTTTGAAAACATTTGAACTATACTTCAGACTTTATTAGATTCACAGAGAAAGGAGCTCTGAATAAAACTATTTAAAATACCATTTACTGGCTTGAGCACTTTAAAGCCTTTAAAACAACTGACTAGGTTTTAAACTGTATTGCTAATCTGGTTCAAGTCTGTTCACAACAAGTTCTCTGAAAACACACTGCAAGATTCTCCCCGACCACTGTAACTTACGTCAGAAAGGTGCCTCTGGTGTTGACATTCATCATCAAATCCACTCTCTTTGTAGGTGTTTCCAATGTGCTGGTCAAACTAATAGCACTGGCATTATTCACCAAAACATCAATTCCTGTTTTCAAATAACCAACTTCCCATTAATGGAATTTTAACTTTATAACAAAAAGAAATAAAAACATTCATTCTATATAGTTGAATCCTAAGTTGGTTCACAAATACTTCTTTTAGATAATATGACTGACAATATAACAATGCAAGCAAGATTTGATAGCTGTGGTGAAACACCCAAATGATTTTCACTGGCACAATGGAGAAAGCCAATCTCCAGAGCTCCACCTGAAACCACAAGGAGGCTTAGTCCTCAGTGGTTGTAGCTTCTATTCCTATTTTGTTCTCTTACCTCCTGGTCTTCCCTCCTTATCTCCAAGAACCTTAGGTTAATTTCCTAAAAGTTTTCCCTTCTCTCTAGCATCTTTCCAAGGCCCTCCCCCCTTCCAAGCTCACTAGTCTCCCTTACTTTAATAAAAGAGGTCCTTCCTGGTCTTGGGAGGAAAAGAGAAAACACCTAGAGTGAATTTTCAATTCATCAAAGTATATCAAGTATATCAAGTTTGTTTTAGTAATTCATACACAAAATTAATCTAGAATAATGATTATTTATGCATATTCTGTTGGTCCCTCATTATGTAACATAATCTTGTTTAGAAGTTTAATTATAAGTTTTAGTTACAAGTTTAGTTAAATAATGTTAAATGAAAATAGTAAAATATGAAAGTATCTTAAAACACTTCTCTGTTTCTCCATGATTCATACTTCTTTTTAAAGGGCACTTAATATTCAGTTAAATAGAAATATCACAACTTCTATTGTGGGCTTAGACTGTTGCAATAAACATTTTCTGTTGTCCTCTTTACCAAGTCCCTCTCTCACAATACATGCATAATGTATTTTAGTCCTAAGCACCCTTTCTTCATATATGGTATTATAAAATCTTGATCACATACTCATTCCTCAATTTCCATATTCTTCTGTATAAACTCTGTGTTGCTAATGTTTTTCCTTTTTTCTTTTTTTTTTTTAAGGTTTTATTTATTTATTTAAAAGATTTTATTTATTTATTTGACAGAGAGAGACATAGCGAGAGAGGGAACACGAGCAGGGCAAGTGGTAGAGGGAGAAGCAGGTCTCCTGCTGAGCAGGTAGCCCTATGGAGGGCTCAATCCCTGGATCTTGGGACCATGACCTGAGCTGAAGGCAGACACTTAACGACTGAGCCACCCTGGCGCCCTGCTAATGTTTTCTTAAAATGTGTCCTTAGGACTAACTTTGGACTCAACAACATTACATCTTATAACTCCATTATAACAAATCTCAACTCAAGCAAGTCATACACATATCTGAGACAAGTTCTAGATTCTGTGACTACCAACTTCCTAGATTGAACATAATGATGGCTGTCTTCACAAATAGTAATGATCTATGAAAAGCACATTTTTTAAAAGATTTTATTTATTTATTTGACAGACAGAGATCACAAGTAGACAGAGAGGCAGGCAAAGAGAGAGGAGGAAGCAGGCTCCCCGCCAGGCAGAGAGCCTGATGTGGGGCTCAATCCCAGGGCCCTGGGATCATGACCTGAGCCAAAGGCAGAGGCTTTAACTCACTGAGCCACCCAGGTGCCCCATATGAAAAGCATATTTAAATCAGGACATACTTGTCAATCCACAAAGCTATGAGCTGCTCAGCCACACCACGGAAAGGTAATCAGCAAGTGGCTACACTACATAGGCACTCTGCTAGGGCCTGGGAGGCAAGAAAGATGATACTCATAAGGAAGCCAGGTGGGAGCAAAGCAAATTGAGGAGAGGTCTGAGTGAGAGGCTGGCCTGATGGGTATATACACCACCCTGTGTAGACTTACCCTCTTCAGAGAGATGAAGCTAGTAAGGGTTGATCCAATCAATAGATTCCTTAAGCAAATTCAGACTTTATTGACTTCATCTCTCTCACTATGTGGTAACAAGTGACAAGGATGTTAGCAGAGCAAACATCTGGGCCCAAAAGCAAAGAAAGTAGATGAGAAATGGGGATATACTAACATGGTAAACTATGTTTGACTTGCCAGTGATAAAGAAAAAAATAGTTCTAATTAAGAGGTAGGTCAAAATTTCTAAACTCAGATGGCCCAAATTAAAATGGATCAGGGAACAATAGTGAAAAGTAATGCACAAGCCAAAAAAAATCATATATATATATATATATATATATGTATATATATATATGCATGCTGCAGGGGGGGAAGAAAGGTTGCAGGAAAGAATGATTCTGTAGTTTATAAAAGAGCACAATTTACTCAAGGCCTGGAAAACTTTGAAGGTGAGGGAAGGCAGGGTGATAGGGAGCACCCTGTAGCAGAGCACCCTGAGGGCACAGGTTTGAAAGCATTATCAGCTGCTCAGGATTTTGTTAAAGACAATTCTCCAGCAGAGAGAAATATCAGGAAAAAGTAAAGTCTTCCCAAAAGGCAGAATTCAAAGCCCCAGAGAATCTTAAAACAGAAGGCCACAACGGTAGCAACCACAGTATGGAACTAAAACCAAACAAACAAAAATATAAAGGCTTGGCATCTTCATGGAAAAAGAGTACAGAGGGAAAGAAAAAAAAGGAGCAGCTTATGAATCATTTCTTGTAAATGTGGTATCCTTCATAGTTATATGAGAGTGGCAGCTGAGCGGCTGAACAGAATTCCCTCTTCATTGTGCATTGTTATGCCAGGAAAGCAGAAACTGATGGGTAAAAGGAAAGCAAAAAATTTTAAATACATCAAAGTGGATACTAAGGAGGAGGAAAGGAAATCTTAGGCAAGTCTTCAAAGCAGAGGTAACTCGACTGCAAATCTGTAAATTTATCAAGAAGACAAGTGCGTTTCAGATGACCTTCTCAATAATAAGTAGCAAAATAGGGGCAGGACCTGGGTGGTGATGTCCTCTGAGCATTCGACTATCGGTTTTGGCTCAGTTTGGTATCAGGGTTGTGAGATGGAGACTGAGTTGGTATGTGCGCTCACCGCGGAGTCTGCTTCAGTTTCTCTCCCTCTTCCTCTGCCCCTCCTCTGTGCGCCCATGCGAGCACACACTTTCTCTCTCTAATAAATAAAAATCTTAAAACAAAGTATTAAAATATACTGGGAGATTTTTTTGTTTCCCCTCAAAGGTATGGAAAACATATCCTCTTAACTGAAAACTAAACTCTGCTCTGGCGCTTTATAACGTAGTACTTTGCGGTGAAGGTTATAAGCACAAGCCATGCTGACAATAAGATATTTCTTCCCATTGGTCAGTATCTTTCACACGTACATACATACAGTCTCTGGAATATTATAGGGCGAGCAGGGAAGAGTGGTAACGCTTTGGGCAGGATTTGGACTTGGCCAGGTGCCTTGGTATAATACCATCAAAGCTTAAGCTCACCCCCAACACCTGCCTTCTACGAGTTTATGAACTAATTGAGGAAAAAAAATACTAACACCTAAAGCAGTACAACAGAGGTGCCTGAGGGGCTCAGCTGGTTAAGTGTCCCACTCTTGATTTAGGCTGAGGTCATGATCTCGGGGTTGTGAGACTGAACTCAGTGTCAGGCTCCATGCCTGGTGGGGAGTGTGCTTGATATTCTGTCCTTCTCCCTCTGCTCCCCCCACCCCAGCTCTCTCTCTCTCTTTCTAAAATAAAATAAATCATAAAAAAAAATAAAGTAGGGGGACCAGGGTGGCTCAGTTGCTAAGTGTCTGCCTTCGGCTCAGGTCATGATTCCAGGGTCCTCGGATCGAGGCCCACATCGGCCTCCCTGCTACGTGGGAAGCCTGCTTCTCCCTCTCCCACTCCTCCTGCTTGTGTTCCCTCTCTCCGTGTCAAGTTTAAAAAAAAAAATCTTGGGGCGCCTGGGTGGCTCAGAGGGTTAAAGCCTCTGCCTTCAGCTCGGGTCATGATCCCAGGGTCCTGGGATTGAGCCCCGCATCGGGCTCTCTGCTCAGCAGGGAGCCTGCTTTCTCTCTCTCTCTCTCTGCCTGCCTCTCTGCCTACTTGTGATCTCTGTCAGATAAATGAATAAAATCTTTAAAAAAAAAAAACTTAAAAAAAATAAAGTAGTACAAGATAAGGATTAAAGGAATATTTTAGGAATTCAGAAAAAGAAAAATACACTTCTGACTAGTTGGCATGGTGAGGAAATTGGCTTCATGAAGGAGATGAGATATAACCACAGAAAGGTGGTTTTCACAGACAGAGAAGGGAGCATTTGAGGGAGGAATGGAGATGGACAGGTAGGCACTGGAGAAGTCTCAGGATGGGAAAGAGAAAAAGTTAAGAGGCAAAAACCTCAAGGCAAGGATATGGAAGTAAACTATTTGAGGAAGAATAAAGTATTTACATAGGGGCATAGAAAAAAGACGGAACCAAAAAAAGTCTTTTGAGATCAGAATGTGAAACGTCTTGAATGGCAGTAAGTTATCTATACTTAATCCAATAAATATCAAAAGTCATCAAATTGATGGCTACGTTAATTGAGGAGAGGAAAGAGGATGAGATCTGGGAAACTAGTTGGTTAGATGTATGTTACTGTCAAGGGCCTAACTTGAGAATGAATGGTGGATGTGCTATATTATTCAAAATAACTTTTAACAATACAAAAGTCATCACATGGTTTTAAGCTGCATTTCTACATAAGTGAATACTCATATCTGGTTATACTCCAAAGACTTAGGAAAGTTAAAAAAAATTTTTATTTATAGTTATAACAGTCAATAATTATTTCAGAATTAAGGTACTACCTCCAAATCGCTCCACTGCTTTCTTCACCGCATCACTGATTTGCTGTTCATCTCTCACATCAACAGCACATGGTAAGGCCTTTCCTCCAGCTGCTTCAACTACAAAGGACAAACAAACAAAAAAGCATTGAGACATTCAAATACTAAACTTTTCATTCTGCTGTGAATCAAAAGAAGTACCCTATATTCAGAAAATCAATATAAATAACTATGTTCTTATAACTGCTAGTGACTCCGCCCTACTGTAGGACAGACAAACCCATGTCCAGCCTCTGCCTAGAGAGACCAACTATATGAAAAAAACGAAAAGTGGGGGGTGTGCCTGGGTGGCTCAGTTGGTTGAGCATCCAGCTCTTGGTTTCAGCTTGGGTCATGATCTCATGGGTCATGGGACTAAGCCCTGCTTGGCCTCCATACTCATCAGGGAGTCTGCTTGAGGATTCTCTCCCTGCCACCACTCTTGAGCACATGTATGTGCTCTCTAAAATAAATAAATAAATCTTAAAAAAAAAAAAAAGGTAATTTAAAAAACTCTATTAAAAAGAAAAAAAGAGGGGTGCCTGGGTGGCTCAGTGGGTTAAGCCTCTGCCTTCAGCTCAGCTCATGATCCCGAGGACCTGGGATCGAGCCCCACATAGGGCTCTCTGCTCCACGGGGAGCTTGCTTCCTCCTCTCTCTCTCTGCCTGCCTCTCTGCCTACTTGTGATCTCTGTCTGTCAAATAAATAAATAAAATCTTTAAAGAAAAAAGAAAAAAGGAAGGTAATTTAAAAAACCTTTATTATGAAAAAATTCAAGAAAAAGACAAAATTATAAAGAACGGTATATTAAACTACCATGAATCTTATCACCTATCTTCAATGACTGTTAATTCTCTGTCAGTTTTTTAATTTTTTTACTCCCGATCCTGTTTTCGGCCGGAGTATATTTTAAAACAAAACTCAGGCATCATCTCATTCATAAATACCTGATATGTGCTCCCCTAACATAACCACAATGCTATTAACATGATTAACAAAACTAGCAATATCCACCAAAGTTGAATTTTAAGCCCTCCCTCCTGATATCGTGCCTAGCGCAATGCCTTGAGTAGAAGCACTTGATAATTACTTGTGAACTTGAAGTATTAAGATAATGAGTTTCAAATGGCACAGAGAATAAAAAACATGGAGAACTTTTTCCAAGTGTTCACATCATCCACCTCTCATTTCCACTCCCCTATTCTCTGCACAGATCCAAGAACCACTGCTCTCAAGAGACATGATTTTTAAAGGGAGTCTCTCATATAATACAAAAGTGCTGGGGAAGACATGGTTCCTAAATCCTTGCCCCCAGGTGACAAAATACTTCTATAACCAGATAAAATTATGTTTAGAGTAGCTTTCAAATAGCTATAAACTCTCCAGCAAATTTCCCATCTACTGAAACCACAGTTAGAACATTTCAAGAAATGGCATTGTCCCATTCACTTACTCTCTTCAGCAGCAGTAAAGATTGTGCCTGGAAGTTTGGGGTTTGCATGGGTGGTCTTCGCAGCAATGACAATGTTTGCTCCATCCTTTGCTGCTTTCAATGCAATAGCTTTGCCAATGCCACGACTTGCACCTGTGATAAAAACTGTACATCCTGCTAGCCTCCTACAACAGAACAAATAATGACCTTAGAAGAAACCTCAGTGTTTTATTTACTTGTTAGTATCAGGAATTATGCGTATTTTCACAATATTTATGCTTCCTCCCCTAAAACTTTCTGTAGGGGCACCTGGGTGGCTCAGTCGGTTAGGCATCTGCCTTCGGCTCAAGTCATGATCCTGGGGTCAGGGATCAAGCCCCGAATGGGCTTCTCGCTCAGCAGGTGGTCTGCTTCTCCCTCTCCTTCTGCTCTGCACCGCCCCCCACCTTGTGCTCTCTCTTTCTCTCAAATAAATTTTTAAAAATCTTAAAAAACAAAAAAACTTTCTCTAAACTTTCCTTCCTCCCTCCCTCCCTGATAGCTAACAGCTCTGTGATACTGCCACTGCATAATGATTTAAAAATTATTACAACTGCAGTTGGCCAGGCTTGTTGTGATAGGGCAAACAATATCTGGCATGATAAAAGGTAAATCTTTTTTTTTATTTGATTTTTTACTATTTTTTATTACATTCAGTTAGCCACTGTATTATTAGTTTTTGATGTAGTGTTCAAGGACTCATTAGTTACATATAACGCCCCTTTTAAAAGATGTTATTCATTTATTTGAAAGAGAGTGAGCGAGGCGAGAGAAAGACTATGAGCAAGGGGAGGGGGAGAAGCGGACTTCCCCTGCTTAGCAGGGATCCTGATATGAGGCTCTATCCCAGGACCTGGGATCATGGCCTGAGCTGAAGGCAACTGATAACCAACTGAACCACCCAGGCACCCCCAGACAAAAAGGAAACCTTAACAAGAAATAGGGAATTAATAAACTATACACATATTTCCCCACAGAAAAAGTGGGGAAAGTATTTTTCCCCCACAGAAAAAGTGTTAACAAAGCTTATTTTTGAGTGATGCAATTATGAATGAATTTTATCACATTCTTTATATTCTTCAGGCTTTTTCAAGTTTTCTACAATGAATACATACCACTTAAAAGAAATTATCTAAAAGCAAATAAATGTATAACAGATGCTCATCATTGCTCATAATAGCCAGATTGGAAAAAATGAAAACGTCTATCAACTGATGAGAGGATAAATAAATTGCTGTATACCCATACAGTGGAATATATTCAACAATAAAAAGGAAGGAAGTACTGATCCATGTTACATGAATGAACCTGGAAAACATTATGCTAAGTGAAAGAAGCCAGTTACAAAGGACCATACACTGTATGATTGCATTTAAATGAAATGTCCAGTATAGGCTAATCTATTGAGACACAAGGATAGTGGATGCCTAGGACTGGGGGTACAGGGATGGGAGTTGATAGCTGAGAGATATGGGGTCTCTTCTGAAGATGATGCAAAGGTTTTAAAATTGACAGTGGTGGGGTACCTGGGGGGCTTAGTCAGTTAAGCATCTGACTTCTGATCTCAGCTCAGATCTTGACCTCAGGGTTGTGAGTTCAAACCCCACACGTTGGGCTGCCTGCTGGGCATTTAAAAAAAAAAAACTTGTCTAAGGAGAAGGATTAAAGAGAATATAGTGAAAATGACAACAGCAAAGAGAAAAGGGTACAATAACCACATAAACAGGCTTGTTAACAAAAAAGAGCATAAGGTCTCTGACAAGATCTATAGGATTTACACTCCAGAAAAGGTCAGAGGTAAACATGGGGAAGGGTTTTTTTTTTTTTTTTTTTTTAAAGATTTCATTCATTCACTTGACAGAGAGAGATCACAAGCAGGCAGAGAGGCAAGCAGAGAGAGAGGAGGAAGCAGGCTCCCTGCTGAGCAGAGAGCCCGACGCGGGGCTCGATCCCAGGACCCTGAGATCACGACCCGAGCCAAAGGCAGCGGCCTAACCCACTGAGCCACCTAGGCGCCCCGGGGAAGGGTTTTAAAATAAGAAATAATCATTTTGGTAGGAAAGAAGGAGAACAGAGAAGAGGGAAGGAAAACAGTATTACCAACACTCCAGAAGCCACCTGTCTATTCCTCTAATTCTATTCTCCTCCTTACTCTCCCACCCCAGAAAGTAACAAGTAGTTTACATATGACTACTCATTCCCATTTTTTTACTATTCCTAATATCAACACATGTATGCCGAAGCCAAGGGCCTCCTAAACAGTATAGCCCTAAAGCTAAAAATTGTTCACAGATGAATATTTATGATCAATTCGATGACAGGGAACACCATTTTTTAAAAAAAGATTGATTATTTATTTATTTATTTATTTATTAACAGGGAGAGAGTACAAGTAAGCAGAGTGACAGCAGAGGGAGAGGGAGAAGCAGGCTCTCCGCTGAGCAAGAAGCCTGACACGGAGCTCAATCCCAGGACCCTGGGATCATGACCTGCGCCGAAGGCAGATGCTCAACTGACCAAGCCACCCAAGCACCCTGGGAACACTAATTTTGAACCCCAGTGAAGCCAGACATTACATCCCTGTTGTGTATTGAATTCTATCTACCAAAAGGATACGTTGAAGTCCCAACCTCTAGTACCTCAGAATGTGACCTTGTTTGGAAACAGGATTGTTGCAGATGTTAGGTAAGATGAGGTCATATTAGAGTCAGGTGGGCCCTTAATCCAGTATGATTTGAAATGCGGAGGGAAGACTACATGAAGACCCATATACAAGAACACCATGCGATGAAAGAAGCAGAGACTAGAGTGACGCACGCTAAGAATACCAAGGGTTGCTGACTGTCACCAGAAGCTCTTTCACACCGTGGAAGAGGCAAGGAAGAATTCTACCCACAATTCTAGAGGGAGAATGGCCCAAGGGATACCTTGACTTTAGAAATTTAGCCTCTGGTACTATGAGAGAATTAATTTATTTATAGCCACTCAATTTATGGTTTTTTTGTTACAGCAGACCTAGGAAACTAATAAAACCTCTCTCTTCCCCCCACCCCTGCAAAAGAATTTCATTCTTCTCATTGTATTGCCCAAAACTGTACTATTTTGAATTTCACTCGTAAAAAATATTGTGGAAATTGGTTTCTCTCTTGTTCTCTCAGGAACCCTCTTTTTTCTATTATGAACAATGTTGCTAAAAATATTTTGGTTTTGGTTGCCTAGTTGGCTTAGTTAGTTAAGCCTCTGCCTTCAGCTCAGGTCATGATCCCAGGGTCCTGGGATCGAGTGCCACATCGGGCTCCCTGCTCAGTGGGGAGTCTGCTTCTCCCTTTACCCCTCCCACTGCTTGTGATCTCTCTCTCTCTCTCAAATAAATAAATTAAACCTTAGAAAAAAAAAATATTCTTGTTCACTTTTTCCAGTCACATGGGCAAGAGTTTCTCTAAGGCATATAATCTTATTGGTGAAACTGATGGATTATAGGATACTATTATAGATCAAACATACAATCTACCTAAGTATTCATATATTGGAGCACCTGCCTGGCTCTGTCAGAAGAGCATGATACTCTTAATCTTAGGGTCATAAATTCAAGCTCCATGCTGGGTATAGAGATTTCTTAAAATAAACTTCACCAAAAAAGTATTCATGTATGGGGATGCCTGGGTGACTCAGTCGGTAAAGTGGTTGCCTTCAGCTCAGGTCAAGCCCCACAACATCAGGCTCCCTGATCAGTGGGGAGTCTGCTTCTCCCTCTGCCCCTCCCCCTGCTCATGCTCGCTCTCTCTCTCTCTCTCTCTAATAAATAAATTTAAAGGTATTCCTGTATGTAAATACATATTCATATATTTACATATTTAAATATAAATAATAAATATATGGTATCTATAAACCATATATACTTAAAATAGCTTCTTACTTGTGGCTTGCTTTTTCACTACATTTACAATTTTTTTTTTTTTTAAAGATTTTACTTATTTATTTGAGAGAGAGAGAAAGCATGAGTTGGGGCAGATCCCAGAGGTAGAAGCAGATCCCAGCTGAGTAGGGAGCTGACAGGGAGCTCCATCTCATGATCCCAAGATCATGACCTGAGCCAAAGTCAGATGCTTAACCGAATGAGTCACACAGGAGCCCCTATAATATCTTTCGATGAGCAGAAATTCTTTATTTTCATGTAGAATTTATGAATCTTCTTTTACAGCCAATGCTTTTGGGTTAAAAAAATCCTTCCCTAACCACAACTGTATTAATTTGTCTCTCAAAAATTTTATGGCTAGTCTTTTAAATTTTAGTCTTTAATTTACCTAGAATTAACTTATATGTATGAACTGAGGGATGGATCGAATTACATTTTTTTCCAGTAAGGACAACCTACTGTCCAGTCTAAAAAGCTCATCTTTCCTACAGATCTTCAATTCTAGCTTTGTCAAGATGAGTCTCCATAAATACAGCTGTTTCTAGGCCTTCTCTTCTATTCCATTGGTCCACATGGATTGCACGGTCTTAAGTGTTAACAGCTTTATCAGTCTTACTAACTGATAAGGCAAGTATTTTCAATTTGTTCTTCCTCAAGAGTTTCTTGGTTATGCTTGGACCTTTGCTTTTCCACCCATTATTTTAGAATCAGCCTATCTCGGATGCCTGGGTGGCTCAGTGAGATAGACATCTGCCTTCAGCTAGGGTCATGATCCCAGGGTCCTAGGATTGGACCCACATGGGGTGACTGGCTCAGTGCAGAGCCTGCTTCTCCCTCTCTCTCCCTCTGCTGCTCCCCCGCTTGTGTTCTCTCACTCTGTCAAGTAAATCAATAAAATCTTTAAGGCAAAAAAAAGAACAAACTTTTGTATACTGAAAATTATTAAATCTAAGACTTTAGTTACATATTATTTTGGTTTTCCATATAATCATATCAATTGCAAATAATGACAGCATTGTTTCCTTCACTTCAACAAAGATTTTTTTTTCCTTCTCATTTCTTATTTATTAAAAGAAGAAATGTTCCTAGATGGGAGGTCTGAAGTGCAAGAAGACATAAAAACCAAAAATACTAAAACAAAAGAAACAAACAAAAAATAGAAACAAACCAATTTAAAAAAACCCTGGTAAATTAAGTACAGAAATCTACAAATGTATTTACAATAATAATTAGTAATACCATAAGTAATAATAAATAATATTTGCACAAAGAATTAAAATATATTATAATAACATATGTTAAAAACAGTGATTAGAATTTAACTTTTCTAGGTCCTTGTATTGTTTCAGGGAGTGATAAAATTTTACTTACTTTAGACACTTTACGTTATTCACACGTCAAAATTTCTACATTAAATGTGACAAACAGAAATCCCAGATCTTGGGGTACCTAGGTGGTTCAATTGGGTAAGCGTCCAACTCTTGATTTCAGCTCAGGTCATGACCTGAGTCATGATCTGTGAGATCGAGGGCTCCAGACTCTGTGGGAAGTCTACTGGAGGATTCTCTCTCCCTCTCTATTTGCCCTTCTTCCCACTTATGTCCACATGCTCTCTCTCTAAAATACATAAATAAATCTTGGGATGCCAGGGTGGCTCATCAGTTGAGCATCTGCCTTTGGCTTGGGTCATGGTCCCAGGGTCCTGGGATCAAGCCCCACATCAGGCTCCTTGCTCAGGAGAAGCTTGCTTCTCCCTTGGCCTGCTGCCCCCCACCCCTGCTTGTGCTCTCTCTCTCTCTTTCTCTCTGACAAACAAAAAATAAAATCTTTAAAAAAAATAAAACATATAAATAATTTTTAACAATTTAAAAAAAGAAATCCAAGACATGTCTCAACTATTGCTTTAAAAGCCTCATCCCTTTGCCTTTGGTACAGTTGGACTGATTCCCGGTAGGATAAAGGACATTTCTCTCCTCACAAAGAGTTTCAGGCACTGGCAAAAGAAAGGCAAAGACAGTTTCTCCTCTTAACCTGAAGCCCTGGGCTGTCCTATTAAGAAACCCCCTTCCAGCTCAAAAACATTAGAGCCATACGAGGCAGGCAAGCAAGCAAGAGTCCCAATTTGTCCGTACCATTGGTGGATGGCTAAAACTTGTTAACATAGTTAATCTACACTACAATATTCCAAACTTCTCTGGCACCTCAAAATCAGAGTAAATGTGATTTAATTTTTGTTAAGTTTTTAAAAAGAAAAGCAACCACTTTAAAAAAAAACTATATAAGCTACTCAAGTTCATTTGGAAAAAGAAACATCCAACAATACCCAGGAAAATTCTGAAAAAAATTCCAAATGAGGCAGAAACTAGCCTTCCCAGATATTTAAACATTTTCTAAAGCTAGAGCAATAAACTACTTCGCTACTGGTGCATAAATAGACAGACTAAAGTAATAAAATAGAAAATCCAGAAACAGATCCCTATCATACAAGACTTCAGTTATATGACAGGTGGAATTTCTAACAGAAAGAAAGATTAACTAGTCAGTCAACAGTATTGGTACAATTGTACAGCCAGCCATCAGAACCAAAATGAAGACGGCTTCCTAAATTACTTCCTATGTCAAAATAGTAAGCAAAATAGAATATCATCTCAGGTGAATGAAAAATCTGAGTAAAAACAAAATAAAAGTAATAAAAAAATAATAAAAATCCCAGAAGAATACTTATCAATTCAAAAGAAAATCCTACCTTTAGATGGCCCTATAGGTTTGTCACAAAACCACAAAAGCCTTAAAAGACTATGACTCAATCAAAACATGTTTCTGCATGATAAACAGTACAAAATTAAGACACAATGAAAAAGAATCTGAAAATATTTGTAACACATACGACATACAACAATTTTTTTTCAAATGGAACTCTAAGAGGTCAATCAAAACCTAGTTGTGTAAGCCAGGCAAAGAAAGATACACAGATGGTTTTAAACCAGAATTTCTCAATCTGCACTATAGACATTTTGGAAAGGATAATTCTTTTTTTTTTTTAAGTTTTTTTATTATTTATTTATATGACAGCTAGAGATCACAAGTAGGCAGAGAGAGAGAGAGAGAGAGAGAGGAGAAGCAGGCTCCCCGCTGAGCAGAGAGCCCAATGTGGGACTCGATCCCAGGATCCTGGGATCATGACCTGAGCTGAAGGCAGAGGCTTTAACCCACTGAGCCACCCAGGCGCCCCTCTTTTTTTTTTTTTTTAAGATTTTATTTATTTATTTGACAGAGATCACAAGTAGGCAGAGAGGCAGGCAGAGAAAGAGGAAGGGAAGCAGGCTCCCTGCTGAGCAGAGAGCCTGATGCGGGGCTCTATCCCAGGACCCCAAGATCATGACCCAAGATAGAGGCTTTAACCCACTGAGCCACACAGGCGTCCTGGAAAGGATAATTCTTTATCTGTCAGGGATTATACCGTGCATTGCAGAACATTTATCAATATTCTTGGACTCTAAAGATGCACATACTCTCACGCATACATAATTATGACAACCAAAAGTGTCCCAAGATATTGCCAAATGTCCCATAAGAGTCAAAATTGCTCCTTGATGTGGACTATTACTTTAAACATATAGAAAGATCCCCTCCCTCACTAATGATGAAAAATTTAACTGTAATGAGGTGCCATCTTTTTCAATCAGGTTTTTAGTATCAAAATAAGTATTTTTATTATCAAACATTTTGTTGTTTGCCAACGGGTGGGATTAGGAAATCTCATTCAATCTTTTGGGTGTGCGGTCTCTTTGGAGCACTGAGGATATTAGCCATTGAAATATAAAGTGCATACACTTTTTCAAACTTTGCCTCCAGGAATTTGTCATACAGACATACTCAATTATATACAAACAGTGGATACAAGTTTAATCACTGCAGCAATTATGCAATAAGAAAAACTAGAAATGATCTGGTATCCAGTGATTGGGGGCTGGTTAGACAAATTATGGTACATCAATAGAATACTATGTAACCAATAGAAGATGTGCATATACATATGTAAAATGTACGTAAAAATATGTCCCAAGATATACTATGTAAAAATAAAAAGGGAGTGTGTCACTATTTTTAAAAGTGGTCTGTGTGTTTACAGTGGTGTACAAATGTTTAAAAATGCACAAACTATCTCTGGAAACATACCAGTGAGTAAATGGGAAACTGAATGTTAAGGATGGGGAAACTCACCTTTTACCTTACACCCTTTTGAGCCTTTTAAAGTCTTTTGACCATGTACCTGTATGTTTCAAGCAAGTTATAAAATAAACAAGTCACCCCACTCAAGACATCTATACTTTATAGAAACAGAAAGTAGAATAGGCGCTAAAGGGAAGGGAGGAGTGGGCGAGTTCTTTAATGGGAAGGGAGGAGTGGGCGAGTTGTTTAATTGGTACAGTGTTTCTTTCGCAAATTGAAAGATTTCTGGAGAATGGTTGCAGACAATGTGAATATACTGTACACTTAAAATGATTTAAGATGGTAGATGGTGGGGCGCCTGGGTGGCTCGGTGGGTTAAAGCCTCTGCCTTCGGCTCAGGTCATGATCTCTGGGTCCTAGGATCGAGCCCCGCATCCGGCTCTATGCTCGGCGGGGAGCTGCTTCCCTCTCTCTGCCTGCCTCTCTGCCTACTTGTGATCTGTCAAATAAACAAACAATCTAAAAAAAAAAAAAAAAAAAAAAAAGATGGTAGATGGTGCTACGTGTATTTTATCCAGTATTTTTAAAAATCTTAAGTGAACCGCCACCGTGAAAAAGATACCCATATTTAAGATTAATTTAATTTGTTACTAATTTGAAAATTCCTTTTTAAAACACCGCATTATCATTTCTTTACTTCGGAACTGAGCGTTCGGAAAAAGTGAAGAACTGTGAGCAGTACAGTGACCTTTCACCTAGAACTTGCAAACCTTCAGCAAAACACGCGAAAGTCCAAGGCAGGGCCTACCCCGCAAGCGGCGGGGTAACCCACTCTGGATCCTTTCCTTGTGGGAGAGACTTGCACGTGGCTGTCCCCCAGAGGTGCACAACTCCGAGTTACTTTAACGCATCACGGCGGGTTCCAGCAACACTGCGTGCCCAGCGTGGAGCCTCACTCCAGAGCGCGCCCTCCCACCGCCGGGGCCGCGACCCGCGAGCCACCCACTCCGGCTCCACCTAGGCGCGCACTCCGCCCGGCCGCGGCTTCCCCCTCTCCCCTCCCCACCCCGCGACGCCCCCATGCCCTTACCCGGTGTTGGGTAACATAATTTCCTCAGAGCAGACGTGGAGTCCACAGCAGCTGCAGCGAGCGTACTGTGAGAAGCGGGGCTTTCCCCTTTAATTAGCCCCGTCCGGAGAGGGCGCTCCACGCTCGCCCCGCCCCGCCCCGGAGGCCTGCGGGGATAAGAGGCTTTGGAGGTAGTGGCAGATCCCTGAGTGCGCCTGCGCACGCAGTGGGCCTCCGGGCGCTCGGCGCTAGTTCCCACCTTCCCCGGCCTGGCCCGGGGAACCAGCTCTCTGCGCAGGCGCTGGGAAAGAGGCAATTCCGCCCCACCCCTCTCGCTGCCCGCTGCGGTGACAATCGGTCTCCCGCTGGCGTCCCGCGTAGGGGGCGCGTCAGCCACTGCGTCTGTATGCTTTCCCCCGCCGCGTGAAGGCTCCTTCGTCGCAGCGCTTCGTTATTCGGCTGGTAGGGTGGTCGTTTGAGTCGAGCACTAGGGTCTCTAGGGCTAGGGTGAGGCTTCTCTGCAGGCCCTGACCTGCAAGTACTTTGGCTCTCCTTCTTCTCCCCCTCCGTGGCCCGAACCTGGATGCTTGTATGGCTGCACGCGCCCCATCGAGTGACAAGTTTTCCTCGGCTGATACCTTCTGCCAGACGCCGTCCAGCATGGCATTCTACTATAGCAAGGAATCTGGACTAAAGCCCCCCGGACCCTATAGATAGACCTGTGATGAGCGGCAGCTTCTGGATCAATATAGCTTGGGGGAGAATGCATAGTTAGCGAAGGAACTCCCAAACTCTGTGCAGGAGTAAGGTGAATTCTGAAATCTAGTACTGAGGGGGTTGTTTTTTTTTAATGTTTTAATTTAAATTCCAGTTAAAACATAGTATAATAATAGTTTCAAGTGTACAATATAGTGATTCAACACCTCATAGGACAGCAGGTGCTCATCACAAGTGCACTCTAGTATTGTTTTTCATGGTATACCTGACATTACTCAGCTACCCTAATGAACCGAAGATTGGCATATCTTTAGGGAGACGTGAAAAAACTGTGTTTTGAATTGGTAGGACAGGACAATGAGATGCTTACATGAAGACCAGTTAAACTATCTTGAAGATGGGGTGTGTGCAGTCCCTTTACTGCAAGCCCTAAATGGTCCTGTTTAATCATGTATATTGCCAGTCTCCTATAGGCATTTGAATTGGTGATCTATGATATTGTCCTTAGAGACTCCAGAAGAATTTGTTTATTCAACAAATAGTAGCACCTAGTGCATGCTGGTCACTGTATGTAGACATACAGCAGGACAAAAAAAAAGACAAGGTCTGCCTATGTGAGAGGAATGAGTAGCCAATGTATTAGACTGTTGTAGATATTGGGTGTTTCAAAAAGAGTGTTGATAGGGACTGTTAGATGAAAAGCTTAACTCTCCACTCAAGAAAGTGAAAAAACAATCTACAGAATGGGAGAAAATATTTGCAATGATATATCCAATAAGGTCTAGTATCCAGAATAAAGAACTCTTACAACTCAGCAACAAAAAGATGAACAAACCAAATAAAAAGTCAATAGGGGCTCCTGGGTGGTTCATTTGATTAGCCCTCTGACTCCTCATTTCAGCTCAAGTTATGATCTCAGGGTGGTGAGATCCAGCCCCATATCTGGTTCTGGTGGAGCTCGGAGTCAGCTTGGGATTCTCTTTCCTTCTCCCTCTGCCCCTTCTCTGGCTCGCATACACATTTGCTCTCTCTCATTCATTCTCTCCCCGCTCTCTAAAATAAATAAATATCTTTTTTAAAAAAGTGAACAAAGGATCTGAATAGACATTTTTGCAAAGAAGATATGCAAGTGGTCAGCAAGCACACGAAAAGATGCCCAACAACATTAGTTATTAGGGAACTGCAAATCAAAAGTATAATGAGGGGTGCCTGGATGGCTCAGTCATTAAGTGTCTGCCTTTGACTCCAGTCATGATCCCGGGATCCTGGGATCAAGCCCCACATCGGGCTCTTCTCAAAGGGAAGCCTGCTTCTCCCTCTCCCACTCCCCCTGCTTGTGTTCCCTCTCTCACTGTGTCTCTCTCTTTAAATCTTTTTTAAAAATCTAATCTTAAAAAAAAAACTATCATGAGATTCTACTTTATATATACTAAGATAGCTGTAATAGAATATATGGAAAATAACAATTGTTGGCCAGGATGTGGGGGAATTGGAACCCTCATACATTGTTGGTGGAAATTTAAAAAGGCATAGCCACTTTGGGAAACACCTCCTCAGAAAGTTACAATTACCACCTACTGGATATCCACATGCAAAAGAGCAGCCCCACTTCTTGACATATCCCCAAGAGAAATGTAAATATGTTCAGAAGAACCACCAGATGGCACTATTCTTTTAAAATTCAAAATTATATAAAGCAAAATGTCAATTTATTAACAATATTATGATATACTATTATAATCCGAGTTGGGTTAAGGCAAAAATTGCATAAAATTATCTACAGGGACTCCCATAAAGGAGAAATATTTTAAATTTTAAATTCCTTAATGAAAATGTGTATTTTATAAAAGACACATCATTAAAAATAAGATGTGATGGGGACGCCTGGGTGGCTCAGTTGGTTGGACGACTGCCTTCAGCTTGGGTCATGATCCCGGAGTCCCAGGATCGAGTCCCGCATTGGGCTCCCAGCTCCACAGGGAGTCTGCTTATCCCTCTGACCTTCTCCTCGATCATGCTCTCTCTCACTGTCTCTCTCTCAAATAAATAAATAAAATCTTAAAAAAAATAAGATGTGATACTCTAATTCCTTTTATTATTTAAATTAATTATTAATATTACCAATATTAAAAATTAATTTTGGGGGTGCCTAGGTAGCTTAGTTGGTTAAGTGTCCGCCTTCTGCTCATGGCCTTGATCCCAGGGTCCTGGGATTAAGCCCCACATATGGCTCACTGCTCAGCAGGGAGCCTGCTTCTCCCTCTCCCCTGCTTGTGCTCTCTGTCTAGTAAATAAATAAAATCTTAAACAAATAAATAAAATTTATTAAAAATAAAAAATAGTTTTCAAATGCATGGGGAATTGAAAATGCAGATTTAAATTGAAATATTAAAAGATATGACATTGAGGGGTGCCTGGTTGGCTCAGTTAGAAAAGCATGTGACACTTGATCTCGGGGTTGAGAGTTTAAGCCCCATGTTGGATGAGAGATTACTCGAATAAAAAAACTTAAGAAAGTTATGACACTGAGAACACTTTTAATATGAAGTTAAATAAGGACTCTATTCTATCTTGCATATATATATATATATATATATATATATGTATAAAAGATTTATTTATTTTATTTTTTGAGAGAGATGAGGGACCGAAGAGGGAGAGAATCCTCAAGCAGACTTCCTACTGAGCAGGGAGCCTGACACAGGGCTTGATCCCAGGTCCCTGAGATCATGACCTGAACTGAAACCAAGAGCTGGATGCTTAATGAACTGAGCCACCCAGGCATCTCAAGAATATCTTTTTTAAAGTATATAATGGGGGTGCCTGGGTGGCTCAGTGGACTAAAGCCTCTGCCTTTGGCTTAGGTCATGATCCTGGAGTCCTGGGATCCAGCCCCACATTGGGCTCTCTGCTCAGTGGGGAGCCTGCCTCCCTCTCAGTCTCTGCCTGCCTCTCTGCCTACTTGTGATCTCTATCTGTCAAATAAATAAATAAACTCTTTAAAAAAAAAGTATATAATGCAGTAACATTCAAGTTTGTTGACCACACCCACATAAAGAAATTTCTTAAAGATTATTCATTTGAGAGAGAGAGAGAGAGCAGGGGATGAGCAGAGGGAGAGAGAATCTCAAGCAGACACCCTGCTGAGCATGGAGCTCAATGTAGGGCTTGATCTCATGACACCGAAGTCGTAACCTGAGCCAAAACCAAGAGTCAGACACTGAACCAACTGAGCCACCCAGGCACCCGACAAAAAAAGTTCTTTTTCATCTAGACCCAGTACACAGAGTTTTCTATTTTACTGAATCTATTATTTTCTATCAAGTTGATCATAACCTACTAAATTTTTTGATGACTCATTACTGGAAAAAAATATTTGGAAAACACCCCTTTAGTGTATTGTTACATACCGTTGTGATTTTTCAACTTGCCTTTTTAAGATATTCTAGGCTTCTTCATTCAGATATAAAATTACTAATAAATGGTTAGAGGCCAACAAACAATGCAGATGCTTTTAGTGCAGATGCTTTCAAGTCACAGCTCTTGAAACTTTCCATTCCTTTCACCCACATCCTGGTCCAGGTTAAATGGAAGAAATCCCTGGGGTTTTGAAGGTATGGCAGTTCCTTCTGATAATGTACCAAATATTCCCCATAGGACTGCTAGCAGTACCTTTTGCTGCTCAAAGAATTATTCCCAGTCACTATTTTATTAATAACTGTTGGGTATTAACCTCAAGGATGTATTTTAATGTCTTTATCTTCCTGATAATACGTGACTACAACAATCTAGGGAAAGTGAAAATTTCCATCTTAATACCATCCTTTGGAGATAGTCATTGTTAATATTTTGGCATGTATCCTTTAAGACTTTGAAATTTTACATAGGTTTCGATTATTTGTAAATCCTAGGGGAGATTATGTATACCAATTGTTTTGGATACTGTTTTTGTTTTCCTTAATGTATTATAAACATCTTTCCAAGTTTACACCAAAAGTTTATCTTGACTTGTTATATATTTATTTTTTAAATATTTTAAAGATTTTAGAGTGAGCGTGAGCAGGGGGAGGAGCAGAGGGAGAGGGAGAGAGAGAATCTCAAGCATGGAGCCTGACGCAGGGCTGGACCCCAGGACCCTGAAATCTTGACCTGAGCTGAAATTAAGATTCAGATGCTTAACCAACTAAGCCACCCAGGCCGCCCCTACCTTGACTTTTTAAAAACAGGTGTGTAGTTTTCTTTTACATGATTATACTGAAATTAATTTTACCATTCTCATTTGTCATGGAAATTTTAATTGTTTCAACATTGTCTCTATTATAAACAGCCTTGCAATAAAAACTTCTGTGCATGCATAATTGTTCATTACTC